CACAAGGGGGCCTTCCTCCTGGCCTGAGGTTTCACAACTGGGAGCCCAGGAAGTTGCCAGTTGACTGAAGTGGAGAATAGGGTGGAAGGGACAAAGGACCAGAGGACTCTGGGGCATTGTGGGAAAGCTACTGGAGGTTGGGAGACAGATGGGGGTTTAAGGGAGAAACCCAGACCTCTAAAGCATGGCTGTGGAGGTGCAYGGGACTGGGACTTGGCTGACACAGACTGAGGCTGAGGCAGCAGAGCCTGGGGCTGGCCYAGTGACTCCCTAGGCCCTCCTGGTCCTCAACTTCCAGGTAGCACACAAGTTGGACCCTCACTTGGGGTTTGGTGGTGCACACCTATGATCCCAGCAACTCAGGAGGCTGTGGTAGGAGGATTGTAGGTTTGAGGCCAGCCTCAGCAACTTGGGAGAGCCACTATCTCAAAAAGAACTGGGGATGTAGCTCAGTGGTAGAGTGCCCCAGGGTTCAATCCCCAGTATGGCCATCAAATAATAACAGCAGAGGCACTGGGGAGTAAGGAGAGAGTGGGACCCACCCTAGGGGAGTCAGTATTCTGCCTCTGGGTCKGTCTTCCTCCCAGCACCTTTGTTTCAGCCCCTCTTCCACCTGGAGGCCCCTTGCAGGTGTCACGCCTGGGCCTGCCAGAGGCTAAAGGTCATCAGGCTGAGGTCTGAATGCGGTCAATGAGTAACCAGCAATCAAGCTGGCGCCCTGGGCACCTGCCCCTCCCCTGACTCTCCCCATAGACACCAAGTCAGGGGAAAGCTATGAGGGAAGACAGCCACCAACCAGAGAGACAGGACAAGGTAACCACAAGCAGGATCCCCAGGAAAGAGCATCAAGAGAACAGAAAATAAGACCTGGAGACAGTACACACGCAGCAGGTTTCCATCAGTGTGGTGTAAGAGGCCGGGCCTGGGCCTTTCCGTGAGGGTCACAAGCACAAGGCCGGAACCCGCGGAGGGGATGAGGTCAGCGAGCCGCCCCGCCCCGTGCGCCGCGGAGCCCCTTCCCGCGCTGAGCTCAGCGTGACTCAGCACTGCTCTCGCCTGGCCGCCCGCCCAGACGCCCCTTGAGGACCGATACCTGCCTGGCCCCCATATCTGGGGATCCCAATGTCAGCTCCCCTGCTTGGGCTGCTTCTACTGCTTCGGGACTGCAAAGCAGGCCCTGAGCGCTCACCCACGCGCCAAGTGGCTTCAGCTCCCAGGGCTCCTGCATTCTGGTCAAGTTCTCTACTCCAAGATCAGGGTCCTGGTATGAACCAGTCCTATCAACACGGACCGGGCAGACACCCTGTCTGTAGGTCCTCAGACCTTGTTCCTCCAGGACCCAGGGCTGTGCTTTGTGACTGAAGGAGCAGGTGTCAGGGCAGACTCTTGGACAACTTCAGAGACACTGTTCCAGGGCAACGAATGCTCAGAGCCTCTGGAGTTCCCTGTAGAACAGTCCCCAAGGAAAGCCAGTCCCAAAGAGACCCCCCCAAAGAGCAAGTCATTTCCTTCCTCTCCATATCTCCAATCCCAATTCAGATACTGCGCCCGGGAAATAGCTCCAAGAGGCCGAGTCTGCTCAGGACTCCAAAGGGCTGGCCAGCCTTCCACGTGTTGCTCCACCTTTTCAAAAAGCGCGCACACACACACACACACACACACACACACGCACACGACCCCCACAAAACAAAAAAAAAAAACCTGCCCTTCCCGTCTTGCAGATCACTTAAAGGGCTTAAAGTCCCCTGGAGGGCTTGGTAGCAACACCGACTTCTATCATGAATGCGACCCTCCCAGTGAAAATCCAAGGGTTCCAGGTACTTCCCACCCCATTTCTCAAAGATCCCCAGGGTCCCCAAAATACCACCTCACTGCCTTCCAAACTTGGAGACCCTTTGTTGTGCAGAGCAAACCCCAGGCAACTGGAGGTACCCTGGTACCTCTGAGGTACCCCCTCTTCAGGTCACCAGAAAGAACCACTTTCTCAGAAACAACCTTAGAAGCCGACTTGTTTCTTGAGACACCCCAAGACTTCAGGCATCACTTCATTAATCTCCGTCTTTCCTGAAAGACCCTCTGAAGCCCTTTATTTCCCAGGATCCCATCCCCCCCCCCCCATTTCACAACAGCCCAGCGCTCCAGGCGCGTGACTTCCCCACCCCCGGGCGGGGGCCTAAACTCCTATCTGCTTGTCATTGGTCAGGCCCGGCCTTTAGGCCCCGCCTCCCGACCGCGCAGATTGGCGGACCTCTCGCCCTAAACGCCCCACCTCCCGGCGCCAGCGCACTATAAAAGAAGCCRCCCTGCCCGCAGCCTCAACCAACGAGCCTGGAGGTCCCACGGATCTGCTTCTTGCTTCAACAGTGTTTGGACGGAACAGAGCCGGGGACTCCCTTTTCTTCCAGCTTCCAACCGCCTTCCAATCTGATCTCCATTTGCAATCTCCGGGACCATCTGCTCGCCCAGAACCTGCTTCCAGGACCAGGCAACTCCGTTTTTTGTGGTTAGCTCCTTCTTGACGACCAACCATGACCTCCCAGATTCGTCAGAATTATTCCACCGAGGTGGAGGCTGCCGTCAACCGCCTGGTTAATTTGCATTTGTGCGCCTCCTACACCTACCTCTCTCTGGTAAGGGTCTCTGGTGAGGGGACCTTGGGTGCCRTCGGCCCAAGTTTCCCCTAACTGCGCACCTCTGGCCTCTGCGCATGCGCCAGCCKTCTTTGTTCCGCTGGAACTCGGAGGGCGGAGTCCGCACGGCTGGTGTCGCCTCGTGGCGACCCTAGCTTTCTCCATGTCTTCCCGCAGGGCTACTATTTCGACCGTGACGATGTGGCTCTGGAGGGCGTGGGCCACTTCTTCCGCGAGTTGGCTGAGGAAAAGCGCGAGGCCTCCGAGCGTCTCCTCAAGATGCAAAACCAGCGCGGCGGCCGCGCCCTCTTCCAGGACGTGCAGGTAAATACCGCGGGTGGAGAGCGGACTCCAACTCCCTGGAGGCCGTGCGCGCCCTTTGAGGGGTTGTGGGGCTTATGGGAGGTCGAGTTGGGTCTTGTGCGGGTTTATTGTCGAGGACCGGGAGGCGCGGAGAACTCCCCCAGACGCCACGGTACCGGCCGCTTGGGGTCTGGGTCCAGGTTTTGGGGACCTGTAGCTGCTAGAAACGGGGGGTGATGAATGCAGAGCTCTGTGGGCCAGATCCCTGATCCTCAACAACTGCTGGGAGTTGTAGTGGGGGTGAGGGATGGGGGGCCAATCTGAAATGYTTGTCTTCTCTTCAGAAACCTTCTCAAGATGAGTGGGGCACCACCCTGGACGCCATGGAAGCTGCCTTGGCTCTGGAGAAGAACCTGAACCAAGCCATTTTGGATCTTCATGCCTTGGGTTCTACCCGCACAGACCCACATGTAAGTACTCCCCTGTCTTTTGCCTGGGCAAAGAACTCCCAAGCCTCGTTCCCACATCTGCCTTTGTTCGCAGAGGCAGCTCTCCCTCTAATCCAGAAATTGGACTTCTAATTTCTCCTGTCCTCTTTCTCAGCTCTGTGACTTTCTGGAGAACCACTTCCTTGATGAGGAGGTGAAGCTCATCAAGAAGATGGGGGACCACTTGACTAACCTCCACCGTCTGGCGGGCCCCCAGGCTGGCCTGGGCGAGTATCTCTTCGAAAGACTCACCCTCAAGCATGACTAGAGGCCCTGGAGTACAGTGGCCTTTGATGGGGCTCCTTTGCATCTCCTGGCATCAGGGCTTTGGCCTAAGTCTCTCCCTCTAACCCGTAGGCAGCTTTTTAACCACCATGGAGCCCCTCCCAAGCCTTGGACCAAATAAAAATTAAAAGCTTTTTCCAGCATCTGATGGTTTTGTGTGTGTCTGTTCTCAACAGAATAGATAAGAACAAACAAACAAGGGCCTTGACTGCAACTTGTTTGTTTGTTCTTATCTATTCTGAGGCAGGATTCCATTTGTTGGGTATGTTGCAGTCAAGGCTTCTCAGTTTGTCTGGCTCAATGTTAACTGCCCCTGCCAGATGGTGAAGCCAGCCTCCAAGGAGTCTTAACATACAGACCTGGGGTTGGTAGCTGGAAGCAGACACTGCACGAACTCTGCCACCTGACCATGTGTCCTARTAGGAATTGGACATAGGGTCTTGCTGAGTCCTCTAGGCTTGAATCAAACTAGGAGTTGCTGGGATTACTGGCCTGCACTGCTTCAGTCAGCCTTTTTTCTAGTGTCTGGCACTCCTAGATATGAATTCTACCTYTAAACTATACCCCCAGTTCCTGGAATGGCTCTGTTCAACGAGTAATAGAGGTTAGGTATCAGACCAAGATCTTAAAAATTGAAGACAAATCCCAGTGAGGCTGAAGCGGGAGGATCACAAGTTTGAAGTCAGTCTTAGCAATTTAGCAAGGCTGCAAGCAACTTTTTGAGACCCTGTATCAAAAAATAAAAAGGGCTGGGAATGTGGCTCAGTGGTTAAGGCCCCCTGGGTTTAATCCCTGGTTAAAAAAAAAAATAGGAGACAAGTATTTATTGACCCCTTTATATGGGCAAATTAAGGCCATTACCTGGGTGTGATCTCCAAAGGCTATTTTCTACCCCTTGGAGATAATAAAACCGCAAGACGCACACATAAGAATTATCAGATGAATCTGAGCAGCTGGATACACATGATGCTTAAAAGGTTGAGCTAGGGGTTTGGGGCTCAGCACTGAAATAGAATGTGAGACTTGGGTCCACTTATCCAAGTGGCAACTGAAGAAGCTTAAAAGAGGACTTGGCATTTGCTGGGGCCAAGCCACAAAACTGCTGTGTCAGTTCTGACCCCTGCCACCCTTCATGGTAGAAGAGGCATCTTAAGTGGGTGGTATTTTATCTGCTGTCATCACGCTTTCATGGCCACTCTGAGGGAGAAGGGAATTGCATGACTGTAACAGAGGCTATCGGGAAAGATGCTGACATATCCAAATCCAAAGCAACTGGAGTTTTCTAGTTTCCCGAGTAGTGATTGGCTCAGAGATGCACATATGGCCTAGTGAAGATTAGAACAGAAAATAAGTTTGTTTTTAAATAGAGCCATCCAGAGGACAATAAGGCCAAAGTACAGAAACCACAGAGTCCTGGAAACATGCGAAGCCAATCCATCCATCTGTGATGACCACTAGGACAGCCATGGACCACACACTTGGCCATTGAACACTTGCCTCTGATCAGTATTASTAATAAACCACATTTAATTTAATTTAATTTAAAGAACTGAATGGTTCTCATGGCTGCCCTGTGGATCTTCTGTCACAGAGCCCCTTCATGCCAAAGATCACTTGCCATTTGTGCCACTTGCAAATTAAGTCCCAGCTAAGCAGTCWGATGTGCCTTCCTTGAACAACACTGGAATCTTAGAACAGCAATCCAAATTGCTACAACAGCATGAGATAAGCGACCAAGGAGGAGGGCAGAGCAGGGACTAAGATCATGAGGTCTGGGGGAGTCAGGAGTGAGGTCTACCAAGTGCTGATGACTGACCATACTTGGAATTCTTAAATACAGATGTATTTTTTTCATCTCTGGACACACTCTAATCACACCCTTCCAGCTTCCCCCTCCCAACTGCAAACCAAGTAGTGCTTCAGACACAGCACAGCACACGTGAGGGGCCCCTCCCTTTCACCAAAGCTGGGGGCAGGGCACAGCTTGGGGATGGAAGTGCCTTGAGGTAAATGTGGGGCTTCTAGAACCCAGTGGGCTCAGTTATAGATCAGGAGAAAGGGACCAGGATGCAGCACAGTGGTAAGGCTCCAGATTCAGCAGTTGGGACCTAGAACCCAGTGGTTTCATGGTGGGCTGAGCAGTTGGGGCAGCTGGGGGTAAGGGTTATGCTCAGCAGAGGGATTCTCTGGAGGGGAGAGAAAGAATCTCTAGACACGGAGGAGAGCTCAGACTCAGGGAAGGAGTGGGATCTGGTCCAGGAAAGACCAGAAAGGCAGAAAGGTATCTAGACCACACCAGCATGTGCTCTAGAAAGAATGAGGAACCAAGCGGTTCTGCCATCCCTGGCTTGGCCAAAGTGTGGGGGTTGACAGGAGCAGGGGTGGAGGCAGAACTGGACACCAGAGAGGGCTAGAGCATGAGTCCACCCTGAAGCCAAGTTCTGAGTTGAAATGGAGGACAGTTGGCTTTCAGTTACCTTAAGTCCCTGAAAGGGTCCCATTAGCAGGGATACCATATGGTTTACAGCACTTGGTGGTCCTCAGGCCAGGCCTGAGCATGGCATGCTCTGTATGCTGTAAAATTTGCAAGCCACAAAGGGCACTAGGAGACTTGGCCTGGAAAGCAACAGGCCAGTTTTCCTAAAACCTCTGGCACCATGGCAGAATAATGGCAGATTCCAGGCCTCTGGGACCCAGCTCAAGCCTGAGGGACTCCAGGGTACAGATAATGCATCCTGAAACCCAAGAAAGGCACAGCATTGTGGATTTTGGAGTGTGGGGACTCCGAGGATGGAGCTGGAGGGGCTGGAGTGTATGGCAGAAGGGACTGGGCTGTGGTCCACACATAGGGTGGACACCACTCAGGATCTGGAGTGGGGTTCAGAAACTACGCCCCCTGCACCCACTCCTCGGAGGAGGGACACAGGACAGGCAGGGAGCGTGGAGTGGAGGCTTAGTTGCGCTCCTCACCCAGTGAGCTGGCGGGGCTGAGGGGTTCACTGGGCGTGCTGATTGAGCTGGAGGGCGCAGTGTCCACTGAGTTGCTGCGCTTGCTCCCGCCCGTAGAGGAGGTGCAGGAGGCCCGGCGAGGCCACTCGGGCGCGCGGATGTTGCGGCGGTCTTTAGCAGCCTCCTCATCCTCATCGTAACGCTCTTCCTCGAGTGCCCCGTCTCGAGGTTCTTCTTCATCCTCACTCTGGTGTGGGCTTGAGTGTCGTGATAGTGACGGCGATGGCGGCACCGAGGCTGGCCGTGGGTAGCGGTACCCCTGGGTCTGCATACCCATGAGTGTGGGCACAACAGACCAGAGTGAGCAGAGGCCCCAGAAAGTCACCCCACCCCCAGCCCCTCCMGGCCCAGCTCTCCAGCTCCTGGCTCAGCAGAAAGCACGGATCCACTCACCGCATCCGCCTCGTGAGGTTCGTAGGTGAAGTGATCTGGGAAGGCCTTGGCCAGCGCCATGTGGCGTGCAGACATATAGTACTTGGGGTAAAGAAGGGGAGGAGGTGTCAAGAGACGCAGGAGCCAGACCCCGCCCCTGGCCGATCCTGACACCTTTTAATGTAGATGAACACTTGCCSGCACCTTCCAGTATGCTTCTATGCAAATATCCATCTTTCTGGCTTGGCCACACCCCTATGCAAATGGGACTCTGAACCCAGGTTCTTCCTCCTGAAGCTCATTATTATTATTATTTTTATTTTAAATTCTGTACCGAGGCTTGAACGCAGGGGCGCTCTGCCACTATGCTACATCCCCGGSCCTCTTCATTTTTTATTTTGAGACAGAGTCTCGCTAAATTGCTTAGGCTGTCTTTATTTTTTTCTTTTTTCCCCCCCTCTTTCCCCTTCCTCTCCTTTCCCTCCTCACCCCTCTGTCTCTCTTTGAGGTGCGGGGATTGAACCCAGCGCCTTGCTCAAGCTAGGCACACACTCCACTACCACTGAGCTACATCCCCAGCCCAAATGTCTTTTTTTCTTTTATATATTTTTAGTTGTTGATGGACCTTTATTTTATTCATTTATTTATATGYGGGGCTGAGAATCGAACCCACAGGCTAGGCGAGTGCTCTACCACTGAGCCACAACCCAGCCCCGAATTTCTTAAAGGGGCATCAATTGTCAGAAGCAGGAGTAGGAGATCCTACCACCTGCACCAACTTTTTGAGGCTGCAGTACCCAAGAATCAAGTCAGGAGAGGTTGATTCAACTAGAAAAGGAGGAAAGGGTGTGTGTGTGTGGGGGGGTCCTACCCGGCCTAGGTATTTCCAATCCAGAAGGTCAGAGAGACGTTCCGTGCGATTCCGTTGGATGATGCGCTGTCGCCGGCTCTGCTGGCAGAAGCTGTAGAGGAAGGAGGTGAGCTGCGAACAGGAATCGTCCAGACTTCGGAACCTACGGTCCAGGATGTAGATGCCTGCAGAGGCCAGGGCAGGGTTTTTGTTGTTATTTTGTTTCGTTTCTTGTACTGGGGATTGTACTCAGAGGCTCTTAACCACTGAGCCATATCTTCTCCAGTGTGTGTGTGTGTGTGTGTGTGTGTGTGTATTCCTGCCCCCCCCCCCAAGAGAAAGGGTCTCACCAAGTTGCTGGGGCTGGCTTTGAACTCACAGTCCTGCTGCCTCAGCCTCCCTAGCTGCTGGGATTACAGGTGTGTGCCACAGAGGTGGGTTTTAAAAATGGTTTGGGAAGACCTTCATCCTCCCCAGGATTCTGTGACACTAGGACCCCTCCTCCCCCCGGGACCCAAGAGTTCACATTCCCTCCTGCCCGGGATCCAGGAATCCTAATTCTCCATCACWCTTCTCTAATCCTCAGGGACCTGGGTGCTGACCGTAAGCTGAGGGATCTGCAATGTGCTCTTCCATGAAGCAGCCGAAGCCGGAGAGGTTGGTAGAGATACTGGGGATGCCCATAACGGTGCACTCAGCTGCAAGAAGGTGTGAGAAAGGTCCACTTAGCTTCCCTCTCACGCCTACCCTCTCAATTGCAATAAAAGCCTCAATGGCGCCCTCTACCGGGCCCAAACCAAGTGCCTAGTCACAGAACCCGCACAAGGGCGCTGGGCAGCAGGCTATACTCTCTCCGCTTCTCAGTGCAGAAGCTGAAACGCAGAAAAAGGAATTATTTTGCCTCAAGGACTCAGAGTGCAGAAAAGTCTTAAGTTGAGAGATGAAGATTTATTGAACACTTACTCTAGATAAAAGTCCGTCATTTTCTTTCTTTTCTTTTTTCTTCTTCTTTTTTTTTTTTTTTTTTTTTTTTTTTTTTTTTTTTTTTTTTTTTTTTTTTTTTTTTTTTTTTTTTTTTTTTTTTTGGTATTGGGGATTGAACCCAGGGGTGCTCTACCATTGAGCCACATATATTTTATTTAGAGACAAGGTCTCACTAAGTTGCTTAGAGCCTAAGTTGCTGAGGCTGCCTTTGAACTTGCCATCCTCCTGCCTCAGCCCCCTGAGCCACTGGGATTATAGGCAGCAGCTTTATAGTCTGTTTTGACAGGCAGTAAAAGGTTTCTCACTGTTAATATCTCTTGTGCAGAGCACTTACTATGCCTTGTTTGACAACTCAACCTTAATATATTTGAGGAGTATTGTAATTCTTATGTAGAAGTGTTCCTAAAACCTCTATAAGCTGGAAAAACAGGCAACTCAGGAGAAAACTGTACTGCACTTAGTTGTTAAGTCAGTTGTGACTCGGTGCTGTTATTTGGCATATTGGGGGAAATCAGAGCAGTGACATCCACTTGAAACTAACATTGTCATCTAGTTTTGAGTCACATGAACTACTGCATTACGAAAAATCATGCTGTAGCAGAACATACTGTTACCATTGTTCCTGTTTTGCAAAGGAGGGAAATGAGTTCAGAGAGGGCTGGTGCCTTGCCCCAAGATCATGCCAGATCTGAACAAGACCCCAGAACTATGCTGCCCCCTACCTGCCGCACTCACCGGGTGTGTAGCCCCAAGGCTCATAGTAGGAAGGGAAGACCCCAAGGTGGCAGCCTCGGACAAACTCCTCATAATCCACAGGGAGCAGGGGGCTTGTGGAGGAGAGGAATTCTGGGTGAAAAATCACCTGGCAGTGAAAAAGAAGGGCTTAGCCCAAGCATCTTATGTAAATACTTCCTGGGAACCCAGAGTGGGTAAAACACTTGTCCAAAGCCACACAGCAAGTGGTTGACAAGACAAAGATTTAAACCTAAGTCTGTTTGCCTCAGAAGCCAGGGTTTTTTCTAAACACAGTGATGCCTTTGATAAACTAGACGACTGGGAGTTTGACAACTGGGGTGCGACCCCCTCCCCCTGCAAACCCACCCCTAGATAGTGCCTTCACCTTCACCCTGTCGGCACTACTGTTGAAGAGGCCAATTCGGCGGATGGTGGTCAGGATGGGGTCCGAAGAGTCGTCCAGCATATTGTGGGTGCACACAGGGGGAAAAGACTGCCGCTGTAGAGGCCACAAGGGGGGCGAGGATCAGGGAAGGAACAGAGGGCTTCCTACTTCTCTATGGGCCATGTTGACCCCAGGGATCCAAGGAAACCACAATGCCCAGCAGGCCACGGGGTAACAAACCCAAGAGACCTTGTAGGTTCCTTCTTGGTTCTATCTGTAAAGAGTCTTTCCTTAACTACCATGAGTCAAAAGAACTGTGATTCCCAGCTGTTTTTGAGGCATGCCCAGGGACTATGGAGAGTTATCACTATCTGGTTCTGTGCTCTTGGCTCTGACGTTAAAAGAAACTGAAATATAACTTTCCCAGTCAATGGGGACAGAGACTGTGTCAATAATGTAGCAAACTTCTGGGACAGCTGGGAGTTGTAGTTTTCTTATGAGAATCCCCTCCTCATCCCTAACAGGAGCCCAAAGGAACCACAATTCCCAGAAGTCACAGCATCAAAAAGAAGTCAGAATGACTAGGAAGCCCCAGAGGTTGCTGGGATGGATAATTCTTTGCAACTGTTGAATCATGTCTCATTTAAAGTTTCTACTCACCTTCAGCTTACTGACTCCAGAGGCCCCAACAAACTACAACTCCCAGCATCCCTCTGTAAGCAACAATGTCTGAGTAAGGTGTGCTACCTTAAGGACATTGGAAATTATAATTTGGCCCAAAGCAGTTCATATCTGTTTGTGTAATGTATCTGTCTAGGTTCCAGTCCCCAGACTTACTAACCCTAACCWCAGGTATCAAAATCCCTTGACTCTCTAGGAATTAAAGAACTCTAACTCCCAGAATCCTCTGTGGTGAGGGAAATCCATGTTGCAGAAAAGTTCCAGGGGATGCTGGGAGTTGTAGTTCTCATTTTGTAACTGATAACACTYTCCAGGGTTTTCCATCCACTTAATTCCATCAAATTCATGTATGAAAGAAGATACAACTCTTGGGGGTGTGTGGGGACTAAGCCATAGACAATGGGATAAGAAACAGTGGTTCCTGAGCTTTCAATGTTCTTCAGGGAATGCTAGGGGTTTTAGCTGACCTCTGGAATCCATCCCAAAGAGGCCCAACAAAACCACCACTCCCAGAAATGTCTAGGGACAGAGGGGGAGACCATATGCAGTAAGGCCCACAGAGSGGGAGACCATATGCAGTAAGGCCCACAGGCAGCTGGCAGTTGTAATTTCTCTTCTGCAGCCATCTTGACTCTCTGAATGTCCCTTTTACCCTTCATCCACTAACCACAGGAGTTGTAGTTTTCTTATGAGAATCCCCTCCTCATCCCTAACAGGAGCCCAAAGGAACCACAATTCCCAGAAGTCAAAACTAAAACAAACCCCACAACTCCCAACTGCTCCTCGCCCTGCAGAATAAGTCACAGAAAATAGCCTTCCCAAAGTGCCTCTGGGAATTGAAGTTCTACCTGTCACCCCACACCTTTCTGTGGACCTCAGAATTGATCCCTCAATAAAGAATCACTGAAGAAAGAAGAACTCCCAGCAATCTCTGCGGTCAGAAATAACATGGCAAGAGGCCTTYAGGGCTGCTGGAAAATGGCTCTCTCTGCTCAGGGGTCCAGACCATACCTGTGTGGCAAAGATGGCCCTCTTCATCATGGTGAAGTCTTCCTTGTCAAGCATCTTGTTCATGTCTGGGAGGCTCCCCCTGAAAGGTGAGTGGGGACATGCACATGGGAATGAGGTGACAAGATGGGGTCAGGGCCCTGAGGGATACAAAGCAAGGGCCTGGTACTCACACCAATAAGGATTCATAAAGCTTCCTCCCGAATTTCTCCTTCACTGTGTTGGCAGTGTCCCTGGAAGGAGCAGAGTAACAACATCAGAGAACACCAGAGACCATTTATTGTCAGGCTTTAGGGGCAGTGGGGAAACTGAAGTCTGGGCAGAAAAGCCATGCCCTGGGGCTCCAGGATGGAGGATGGGGACCAGGGAACAGGCYCTGGAAGGCTCGGGTTCCTTATGCCCTGTATCAGCTGTGTGGCCAGGGACAGGTGGCCTTTCCTCTCTGACTTCAGTGACTCATCTATCAGATGAGGATAAATATAGAACCAACCTCAGAGGTTAGCAATGAAGACTTGAGGAGGTCAAGACAAAAAGTGCACAGTGCCCAGCACACTCTGAGCCTTCCAGAAATGTCAGCTATTATTAGGACTTGTACTTGCCTGGAGGAGGCAATGCTAAGCCCCATTTTATATATATATAAAAAAAAAAAAGAAGAAGATTCTAAGAAAGGTATGTTCAGGCACACAAACAAAGCCAGCACAGAGCCCCACTGGATAGCTCTGCCTCCCTAGGATATGCTGCTCTAGCCTCCCTGGCCTCCTTGCCATTTCTCAAAGGTCCCCAGAGCCTTTGCACTCGCTGTTCCCATGCCTGAAATGCAGTTCCCCAGACACACACAGGCTTATCGTCTCTGCCCAGTGGCAAAGTCTGTGTCATCTGTCCTCACAACCCTGTTTCATATTCCAGTCCTGTTTTACTGTTTTTTGTTTTGTTTTTGTGGTGCCGGGGATTGAACCCAGGGCCTTGTGCATGCAAAGCAAGTACTCTACCAACTGAGCTGTATCCCCAGCCCCTGCTTTACTGTTTTGATAGCACACTTTCCATAGGATTTTCTAGAACACGATCCTCATAAGGGCAGAGATTTCATCTCTGTTGCTCACAGCTTATGTTCCCAGACACTGGCAGGAACAGGGCCTGGCACCTTGTAGATGCTTAGTGAATATCTGATGGCCAGTGAATGAATGAATGGGTTTACAGAGGAGGAAACAGGCTCAGGGAGGGACAGTGGTTTGCCTYGATTCACAAAGCCAGTGAGGGTCAGTGGTATGAGTGGAACCTTGCCGGGTTGATATCAGTGCCCTGCTCATGTTGTTACACTCTTCCATCCCATGACTTCTTATTCTTTCTGAGTTGGAAGATTTTTTCCCTTATACTAGGGATTGAATCCAGTGAGCTTAACCACTGAGCCACCTCCCCAGCCCTTTTTAATATTTTATCTAGAGACAGGGTCTCACTTGAGTTGCTTAGGGCCTCCCTAAGTTGCTGAGGCTGGCTTRGAACTTATGATCATCCTCCTGCCTCAGCCTCCTGAGCTGCTGGGATTACAGGTGTGAGTCACTGCTCCCTGGAGGTGTCTTAAGCAGTGATTTCACTAGTAACTGGTGGGGCAAATTGATCATGTTACAGAGAGCAAAACTAAGACTCCCGGAGAAACACTGGGCCTAAAGTTCAGGGCTTGGAGTGAAGCTGACAGGGCTCCCCAGCAGAGAGGGCTGCTGACCAAAGCTGTTTGCGCACGGCTTGGCCCTTGAGGGTTTCCACGTTGAAGTTGTTGGTCCGAGCTGGCATGATGAAGAAGGCGACCACTGTCTGCTCACTGCCATTCACCTGAGATGAGGAAAAGGAGGAAGGCTGGGATCACACTCCCTAGCACCTCTACAACCCTCCGTGCCTCTTCCTGCTAAGAATTACAGGACAGGGACATTGTCCCCACTGAGCCTTTGATCTTTCTGGGTCTCTACACCCTGCTTCCCCCAACATGGGTTTCCCTAAGCCCATCTGCCTGGTCTCTGTTCTCCAATCATTTTCGCATCCTCCCTTTGCACCCTCATAGCTGAGGCCTTACTCTGAGCAGATAGTTGAGCCGGGCCAATGCCTCCAGGAAGACGTCAGCCCCCTTGTTAGAGAATTCGTAGCGGCCGGCAATAAAGAAATACAAGGTCTTGTCCAAGTTGAAGTCCAGGTGCCTAGAGAAGTAATATAGCAGGATAAAGCCCAGGACTCTCACCCTCTAGTCCTGTTCTTGAACATGCAAACCCCAGAAGCTACAGGGGCAAAGGCAATTTTTTTTTCYTAGTACTAGGACTGAACCCAGGTACTCTACCACTGAGCCACATCCCAGCCATTTTAATTTTTTATTTTGAGACAGGGTCTGGCTGAGTTACTTAGGGCCTCACTAAGTAGCTGAGGCTGGCTTTGAACTTGTAATCCTCCTGCACTGGCCTCCCAAACCACTGGGATTACAAGCATGYACCACAGTGCCTGTATTCCAGCCCTCTTTTACTTTAATTAATTTTTGGTGGGGTACCAGGGATTGCACTTGATCTTAGCCAAAAGGCCGAGAAGCGATGGGTACCAGGGATTGAACTCAGGGCCACTCAGCCACTGAGCCACCTCCTCAGCCATTTTTTACATTACATTTAATGACAGGGTCTCACTGAGTTGCTTAGTGCCTCGCTGTTGTTGAGGCTGGTTTTGAACTCATGATCCTCCTGCCTCAGCCTCCTGAGTCACTGGGATTACAGATGTATGTTACTGCACCTGGCTCCTTTATTTTTATTTTAAGACAGGGTCTCACTAAGCTGCTGAGGCTGTCCTCAAACTTGTGATCTTCCTGTGTTAGCCTCCTGAACCAATGGGATTACAGGCATGTGCTAAGGCACCTGGCTGAAAAGAATTTTTTAACCCATGCAGAAGCACCGTGGCCTCCTGGGAGTTGTGGCTGTTTTCTTCCTTAGATAGGGAGCTCCTTTAAGTCCCCAACATGGGAAAAAAGCAGGGGAAAGGTAACTCCATTACCACTACCGCACAGAGTGGGTTGCAATCCCTACAGGACTCAGCCCATTGTTCTAGAACTCAGRAACTAGCTGCCCCAGGATTCCTCAGATCCAGGAGTCCTGACCCTAGCTCCTGTTCTCTTAAGACCTAGGTACCTGCCCACATACCCATAAAAATGGCCTCGTACAAACTCCTGGATCCGAGCTTTGCTCTGAGCATGGAGGTTCTGGAACTCATGCATGGCGGAGAATTTCTTCACATTCAGTCCGTTGGGGGTCACAATATCTGGGATTGGGGGAGAAGGTCCCATGTTTCATTTCTTCATTTGTTTTCATTCAGATTAATGTCTTTGGATGAATAAATGAAAGCCTCCTTTTCTTTTTCTTTCTTTCTTTTTTTTTTTTTTAATACTTAGGAGTTGTAGTTTTTTTTTTTTTCCCTTATCCCACCCTGAAATGGGAATAATTCAGTATCCCAATGGCTTGCTTCTTCCAGGATATGCTCTCAACCTTCAAAAATCTTTCAGGGACCCAACCATCTCCTCTCCTCAAAAATTAAAGCATGTCAATGAAAAATTACAACCCCCATCAGCTCCTGGGACAAAATTTCAGGAACATGTGGAGCTAGGCAGACAAAGGCCTTCTGAGAATGGAAGTTCTCACTCCATACTCATTGAGAATGGATACTAAGATCCGGGAAGAAAGCTCAGTTCCAACTTAATTTTTTTCCCAAAACGAAGTCTACTAACCCTGCATTTCCTTTCAGAAGCCAATTGGTGAATTTTATCATTTCAGAAATTACTATCAGAGACACTATAACTCCCACCAGCTTCTGGGGTAYACAGAGCCAGACAGCTTCATTTACAGATCATCACCCCAATCCCAAGGCCTTCTGGGAGTTGTAGTTCTCAGTTCTTTGTTAAAAAGTGGTACTGGCCTTGGCATTGACAGTCGCCTACCTCATTCATGTCTAGGGACCCCAACCCCGGCCCGACCTGGTTTCCTCTTGAGTAGGTGCTGAGCCTCGATGGCGGTGATCTGAGACACAGTAGTGAAGACATGAGCACAATGGGCGGCTGCCCGTTCCATGCAGTAGCGGTGATAGATTTGCCTCTCACCGGCTTCCTTGTCCACGTTGAACTGGGCAGGAAAAGAAGGAAGATGGGCTAGGAAAGTTGGGCACAGGATTGAGGTCTAAGACTCCAGGGTCCTGGGGTTTGGGGGTGGGGCTGGCACCTGAACTCCTGGGTCTAAGGGAGGAGGGATCTGGGGACTTGGATTCAGGTTCTGGGGAGAGGAAGAAGCTTGATCCCCTTGGGCTTCTTAGAGCTTCGGGCCATCCTGAGATACCTGCAGTCCCCACCTGCTGTCACACCCCCAGCTCACATTCTCCAGGTTGTTGTAGAAGTCCACAGCACCAGCACACAGGTAGCGCCCCAGCAGAGTGGCATGGGTGGTGAAGATGGTGGCTACGGGCAGCCGCCGGGCACGACACAGGCAGAGCCCAATGCCTGCCAACCACTCATGGAAGTGGGCAACCACATGTGGCTTCTCCTCATTCTGGGCCAGGAACTGTGGGGCAAGAGGGAGAGGGTCACTGTGTCTCTGTGTATATCACGAAAGGAGCTGGCAGTTCCCAACGGGGACAAAAAAGCAAGGGAAAGGTAACTCCAGTACCACTACCGCACAGAGTGGGTTGCAATCCCTACAGGACAAGGAATTATAAGCTTCAAGGCAGTCAGACCAGCTGGCTTCATCCCCCAGAGACTGATGGGGGCTGGGTTTTTTTTTTCTTTTTTCTTTTTCCTTTTTTTTTTGCCAGTTTATAAGGTTGGCAAGGCTGAATTAGGAAGACTAAAGTTCTAGTGTTCCAAGTTCTAGGCACAACTCCTGGAGACCCCTTATCTCAATCAAGGATGAGCACTCAACAGTAACAAAAGGATTATAACTCTCAGAATGCCTTAGGTAGGCAGATCCTAAATTATTTGTCCCTGGGCATGGGAAATTGAGTTTCTTGAGGCTTTTAATACTAGACAGGAGACAGAACCAGGATTACTGGTTCTTAGGTGGGCTGGGGAGCCATAAGCATCCAGGTCCTCATCTGAGTACTTCAGTTTTGACAATACTGGATTAGAGAACTACAACTCCCAGAACTCCTAAGGGCCAGCCCTTACTGAGAAAACTGGAGTAAATGCAGCTAGGATTGGCAATTTGGGTCTCTGAGGAAAGAGGCTGGGCCCCTGGATGTCTATGTCCCCACAGGTCAAAGTTAATTCTTAGATTCAAGAACCTACAGGGGTTGGGGATACAGTTCAGTTGGTAGAGTGCTTGCCTTGTATGTACAAGGCCCTGGGTTCAATCCCCAGCACTGCAAAACAAACAAACAAACAAACAAACAAACAAACAAACATACCCAAACCCTACAATTCCCAGAATGCCTCTGGAGAAGCCAATTCTCTGCCCAGGGGCTGATGGTCATTGTAGTTTTGGGCGTGGGTGGAACCGCATGAGACGGGGTCAGTCGTGGGGCCTACCTCACCCAGGAACCAGGTAGTGAGGAAGCCAAAGAGGACGGCATCATTGGCCTCGCGGTCATACCAGGGCACCCCGATGTTGCAGGTGTCCCAGAGCTCTCCCTTCCAGCGTTCCAGGGCCCAAGCTGAGGCCCCCACGTCCAGGAGCACCACCAGGGGCCCCCCCTCGATCAGCCAGCGTCCAAAATACACCTGGGATGGGGTACAGGAAAGCTCAGGGCTTTTGCAGTTCTTCTATCTGCTGGCACAAGCCCAGTTCTCTCATCCTTTGTATCTGTTGCTGACTTCTCACCCGTTGCCTTATTTCTGTTTGCTGTGAATTATTTCCACCATACTCTTTTGCCACCTCTGTTCCAAAATTTCCTGGACCCTTGGTTAGATTCTGTAACTGCTACCATTATCCCACCCGACTCCCTCCTTTCACTTCAGGACTCTGCCCCCGCTGCCTTGTTTCCTCTACCTGCCACCTTGTTTCGGGGTCTGCTGCCACATTTCTCTTACCAATCACCCTGGTGCCTTCTCCCATTGTCTTCTGTCTGTGACTACTTCCTTCCACTGGAAGCTTTGCTTACTGCTCTTGTCGCCACCTCCACCCCACCTCCCTGCCTTGTTTCTGTCCCTTTCACCATATATTTGTCACCTATTACTTCTTCTCTCTCTGTCCATAGGCCCACTTTGTAGTCTGCGGCCACATTTCTAGCCCTGCCTGTCCTCTTTCTCTGCCCCAAGGCTGAATTTTTCTACCCACTCCATGTTTCTGAGTCTTGCTGTCTCATTTCAGCCCTTCCACATTTTTCTTGAGACCGTGGCCTTGGTTCTGGGCCTGCTGCCACACCTCCAGCCAGTGGATGAGGAATCATCCTCCCCCAACAACGCCAACCTGGCTTTTCCCTGCCAGGAGCCTCCCTGGGACGCCCCTCCTCCTCCCAGCTGTTGTCTGCCCTTTTGCTGGGGGGGCTATTCTTAGGAGCAACTACCCTGGAGGAGGGACTGGGCTGTGCTGGGGTCCTTTAGGGACACAATCCTGCCTGACTGGGCTCCAGACCCCACCCCAAACAGAGACTAAAGAGTGGAGGAACCACTGTACCTCTGCCTCCCAGCCTCCCACCCGTCTGTCCCTTCTGACAGCTGCCTCACGGGCTTCTGAATGGAAGCTGCCTCGCTTTTGGTCTTCATCTTAGGGCCCTGGAACTTYCCCGTCCTCTCTTTAGTCTCTGGATTTGCTCATCTCAGACTCTGCCCCCTGGGTCTGTCTGCCTGCCTCTCCTTTCTTAATCAATATTCTATCTTTCTCTCTGAAGCATCCAGCAGCCTCTCTCCTATACCTAGAAGATGTGCATCTCTCTCCCTTGTCAGCCTGTCTACCTCRCTGTCCAGGTTGGCTATTTATAAGTCACGATGATGGCAGTGGTGGTTATAATGATGATAATAGTTCATACCAGAGGGCCACCTTCATGCAGGAACCATGCCAAAGACATTGTGGTTATTAACTTTTCACCCTCCCAGCACCCCTACAAGGTAGATGCTATTAGCACATTCATTAGCAAAGGTCACACAAGGCAGCAAGCAGAGGCTGACTTTGAACTTCAACTTCCAGGTTCTTGCTCCAGCACACTTGCCTTAGTCCAAACTGACCTCCCCTGGGCTCCCTCTGGCTGAATTTCTGTCTAGCTTGCTTTCTCTATCTGGTCTGTTGGATCTTGGCTTATTGAATTGATCTGTCTATCCATTCACCAACACACTCGATCCACCAGCTTGGACTTCACGGGATCCTGATCTGCCTATCAGCCTGGCTGTCCATGCCTCCCGCTCTCCACTCCCTGCCCCTTCCTTCTCCATCCTCTGCTTATACCCTGGGGGAGGGCCCTGGGCTCCTGCCCTCAGCCATGCCATGTCCCACCTTGCAGCCCTTGCTGTTCATGGAGTCCAGCGTCCTCTTCAGGGCCGGGGTTGGGGGCTCCAGCAGCTCCACCTGGGTCCTCACACCCTGCTCCGTGTACGGTCCCACCAGGTAGTAGTTGTCGCCCCACTCATCCCCTGTCACCTTCGCCTTCGTCTGGAGCACCGTGTAGATGCCCCCCACTGTGGGCCCAAGTGCATGAGGGCAGGCCCCAGCTGTGGTCTATAGGTCTGGGACCTGGGGTGGGGGTGGGACCCCAGATCTCCAGCTCAGAGCAAGAGGGGTCTGGGAGCCCATACTTTGGAGTCAGAGGAGAGGGAATAAGGGTTGGAGGCTTGGATCAAGAGGAAAGGGGGCGAGAGGGTAGTCCTCCTGGGTCTAAGGAGAAGGGGGCTGGGATCAGGACACTGAGGAGGAGGGGGCTGGAGCTAGACTCCTGGATCTGAGGGAATTAGGGTCTAGGAGCTTGAGGATGGCAGAGGCTGAGAATCATTGGGACCCAAGTTTGTGGGCTCCTGGCTTTCAGGAGCTGGGTTTAGATTCTTGGTCAGCTTCAAGACACAGTGGGAAGAACCCTTTTTCATTGCCCTATTCACCTTTCCAGTTACCTAAGAGAAGCCTGAATTTTCATTCCCTATCCCCCAAGAACCCTGCAGATCTGTCTCCCAGTCCCTCCTCCCTGACTGGGGACATAGGCATGCAGCTGGTCCTCATGATCCCATCGCAAACCCAGGAGTCTGGGCCCCCTAGGGGCATCCTCACCTCCTGGAGCCCAGGCCCTACCAATACATGGATCTGTGTCCACAAGCCCCCTCTCATGCTGGGAGGCCCTGTCCCTTTTTCTCCAAGCCCCAGCAAAGCAAACCTCAGACCCCACTCTTCTGAGGAGTGAAACTGAGACTGCCTAGCTTCTGGAGATTCCAGCCTCAGCTTTCTCCCAAGCTAGAAGCTCAGGCTCTTGGAAGCCAAGGACAGAGAAAAGCAGGCTCCCAGCCACTCCCATCCTAGAGCCCAGCCCCTGACCAACTTAGGACTTCCAGCCTTCCCCATCCCAGTACACATGTGTCCAAGGCCATGGGTTCTACTACTCCTAGGAACCCATGTATCAGGCCCCAGATTCTTTCAAAGTCCAGGTATTCAGGCTCCTAACTCCCTCCCACCTTAGCACCTAAGAATTAGGGTCTCCAACCCCTGCCCATCTTTATTCTCAAGTGGCCAGGTTCCCAGATGCTCCCACAACAAACCATGCATCCTATCTCCTAGTGGCTCGCTCTCCAATCCAGAATTATACCCAGAGAACACTTTCTCCAAGACCATGGGTCTGAAATCTAGCTGCTCCCCAGGTTTGCAACAGAAGTCCCATCCCCCCAGCCACTCCTTCCCTGTTCAGGACCCAGATCTCTGGTCTTTGGGAAGCCTTCCTCCAGATACAGGAAGCTTTCATTTTAGTGCCTTCTCCTCTGAGRCACAGTTAGGACCTGGAAGCCTCCTTCCATCTTAAGTCTCTCTTCACTTTCACTCGCTGGGCCTAGGAGACATACTCCAGCCCCTCCCCAAGGACACAGGAGTCATAGGCGCCTTGCCCAGAACCCAAGAGTCCCCCATGTAGTTCTGCCCCCCCCAAGTCTGAGTTTCAGGCCCCCATCCCCAATCGCCCTTCTAGTCAAGGGCCCGGAAGCCTGATGTGCTCACCCTTGTTGGCCACCTCCCAGGCCACCTCGAAGAGCACCGTGTTCTCCAGGTCGAACTCATCCTCCCAATCCTCCAGTCCTGGCAGTGAGGACATGGACAAAGTGCGACTTAGAGGCATGGCTGGCCCGGAAGGGGTCTCAGATGACCACAGGTGGGACCCCGGAGGTGTCCAGGGAATGCACTAGGTAGAGTGAGGGGCCGGGTAGCGGGTGTCGGACGGGAAGCTTGCAACGCGCCCAGCTTCCTATTGCACGACCGCACCCCCGCCCGGCAGCGTTCTGACCTGGGCAGGAGGCGGTCGCGGCGTCACTGAGCTTGGTGGTGGCCCTGCAGTGAAACCTTGCGGCCACCAGGAGGCGGTGCCCGCCCCCAGTCAGCGCCATTGGCCCGCGCCCGGGGGGCGGGGGCTTCCGCGTCTCCTGATTGGTGGAGCGGATCAGGTTCGTTCAKCGCCTCCACCGCTGTAACTGTGGATGCGAGCTCCATGGGGAGGGGCTTGTCGCTGCGCTGAACGGAAACGATTGGCTTTTAGATCTGTCAATCTGAAGCTGGAGGCCCTAAAGTGGGGAGGAAAAGGGTGGGATAAAGACGAACCGGAGCGTGGAGGACGTGTGGTTGCTAAAAGTGGTGTGAAGAATTTTGCAATCGGCCTCAGCAAGAAGTGGGCGGGTAGAGGAGGCGGAGCAAGGAGATGTTGGGAGGGACCCCGGAGTTCCGGACACCCGGCTTACGGTTCAGCCTCGCTTGATGGGCGGGCCCTGACAGTGCSGTCCCGCCCTCCGAGCGGAGTTTACTTACTTAAGAGGAACCATCGAGACCTTTGGAGGACTTGCTAGCCTAGAGCGCCCAAACCCCTCGCTCCGATCACGTTTCCGTTTCCGCTAAGGCAGTAGCGGTTGGTGAGCATCATGGCAACCGTGGTAAGTGTTGGCGCGTGGAAGAGGGGAGACACGAACCCACACTCTCGAGTCTCAGGGAGKCCCGGAACCCTGGTCTGAGGGAGGAGGGCTGGGCCTGGACCCCCGGTCTGAGGGAGGTGGGCTGGAGTCTGGATTCTGGGACTCCGTCTGAGGGAGGAGGACTGGGCCTGGACCCCTGGGTCGGAGGGAGGAAGCAGCCGAGTTCTCAAGCTCCTGGGTCTGAAGGAGTGAGAAAAGAATAGGTTGGGATACCTTAATCCCAGATCTGACCCCCATCGTGGTGGGAACTCCAATTCCCAGGATCCTCTGGGCACAATCAGGGCCGGTTCTGCAGTCTTTTGCCCCGGTGTCTGCTGAGGGTTGTGTTATCTTGGGTTCCAATCCATTTGTGGTGCGAGTGGCCCCTGTGTTCCTAGGGGGACGAGCAGAAGAGGACCTGTCCTATGTCCTTGTGAGCATGAACTCATTCAGCGGGTCATTGGCAGGACGAGTGTTGAGATCCAAAAGTGTGTCCGTGGGGAAGATCCCAGAGGTTGAGATCTTTCCATGGAACCGTTTTGGCTGTTTTCCAGCAAGTCATACAGGACTTGTTTCTGTGTGAATGCTCAATAAACTGTTACTGGAATGTTTTGGTGAGCATGTGAACCCCAAGGAGCTGAGACCTGGCATGTGCTCCAGAAACAACTGAGTGATGAAATAATACGGCTTGAACTTGGGGGTTAGGCTTGGCTTCTAGATGCCTCAGTTCCTGTGGTGACCCCCAATCAAGATTAAGGAAGGGGGGGCTGGGGAGGTGGCTCAAGCGGTAGCGCGCTCGCCTGTCATGCGTGCGGCCCGGGTTCGATCCTCAGCACCACATACCAACAAAGATGTTGTGTCCGCCAAGAACTAAAAAATAAATATTAAAAATTCTCTCTCTCTCTCTCTCCTCTCTCACTCTCTCTTTAAAAAAAAGAAAGATTAAGGAAGGGCAGGGGAGTGTGTTAAGTGTGTTGCTGTTACTATGGCAAGGAAGAGAAGGTCCATAGGGAAATAGGAAAGGACAGTGAAATACTGGATGGTGATTACTGAGTTAGTTTCATGTGTGTGTGTGTTGGGGGGCATTCTTGGGATCAAAGCCAGGGCCTCACACGTGTTGGGTAAGTATTCTACCTCTGAACTACACCCTAGCCCAGTACTGGTGATTGTATTTGTTTTGGTACTAGGCTTTGTGTGTGTGTGTGTCTGTGTGTCTGTGTGTGTGTGTGTGTGTGTGTAGTGCTGGGGATTGAGTCCTTTTTTTGGTATCAGGGATTGAACCCAGAGGTTTTCTACCACTAAAACAACATCCCCAGCCCTTATTTTGAGAAGTAAGTTGCCCAGGCTGGTCTCAAACTTTTGGACCTACAACTTCAGCCTCCCGAGTCACTGGGATTACAAGCATGCGCCAACACACTCAATTCTAGTCCTGAGTTTTTAAATGATCTTGGATCCCACTGGGGCCAGCAGGCAGCATGGTATAGAAGCTTATAGTGAAAGGAAAAGACCTTGTAGGGAGCAGGTTCTCTCAAGAGGTCTGTTTATATCAGGACAGCAAAGTTTAGGATTCCTAGATCCATGTCTTCCCCTCACAACCCCCATAAAGGATCTGTGTGTTTGGGTGAGGGGTATTCCCAGCCTTCTGGTAGGAGCTTGGGGAGGGGATAGGGAGTGTKTCTCGTGCTCCTGGGTTGCAACCTGCTAGAGGAGAAAGTAGGTAGGAAAGATCACATAGCAAGGAAGAACCAGGGTTCCTGAGAGAGGAAGCTTCCTCTAGATAATGTCTGTCTGCCTTCTCTGGTGGGAAAAGAGAAGAAAGAGCTGTGGAAAGGAACGAGTYGGGGCAGGTGCTGACAGGCTGGGTTGGATGCTGGCTACTTAGTCTTCCTTTTCCTTATTGGAAATTATGAAATAGCCTGAAGTGTCAGAAAATAATATAACAGACAATCATGGGTCTACCACCTGAGTTTCTTTTTTTAAAACATCTTTATTGAGATATAGTTCATATAGCATACAATTCACACATTTGGAGTATACTATGCTGTGGCTTTTAGTGTAGTGATAGAATTGCGCAACCATCTCCACAATCAATTTTAGAACATTTTCGTCATTCTAAATAAGAACCCCTTACTTCTTTCTGAGCACCCTCTGATCTTCTTGTACCTCCCACGCTGGCCCTAGGAAACCACTGATCTACTCTATGGATTTGCCTATTCTGAATACGACATGTGGTCTTTTCTGTGGGAACTTCATTCACTTAACGTATTTTCAGAATTCATCAATATCATAGCAGGTATTGAAACATCGTTCCTGTTTATAAATGAATAGTATTCTGTTGTGGGTAGACCATATTTTTTTCATTCATTGGTTGATGGACATTTGGGTTCTGTCTGCCTTTTGGCTGTTGTGAATAATGCTACCATGAGCATTCATGTATGTTTTTTTGTGTGGCTCTCCAGGGAGTCTTGAATTGTCCCAGGTGAGCCATGTCCCACCCCGAATGAGAAAGGATGGTGCTGGTTTCTCAAACTGGAGACACAGGAGGCCTCATGTTTTTCTTTTTTGTTTGTTTTGTTTTTTGTTTGCAGTGCTGGGGATTAAACTCAGGGGCCTCACGTGTGCTGGGCAAGTGTTCTTGCCACTGAGCTATTTCCCCAGCCCATCATACATGGTTTTACATGAGCTCAATGATGTATACTTCAGGCCACAAACATTGAGGTCTGAGGTGAACAGGAGAGGTGTGGGCTGTGCCCTTCATGGACTCACATCCAATGGAGTCTAAAACATTGATCCAAGAGTCTTCCTCATGAGTGAGAGCTTACATAGGGTGAGTGGGTGATTGGATGCCCAAGCAAGGTCCTTTCATCTTTCTGAGCACCCAGAGGCCCTTAAACTAGTCCAGCAATGGCAGTCGTCAGGAAGGGCATCCCTTAGAGGGTAATACTTGATCTTATTCAGTGGGAGGTAGGGGGAGAGAATAGGCGCCTGCACTGAGAACCAGCATGTGCAAGGTCTGATGGCAGAGAGCTGGGACATCATGGGTCAGGGGTGCTGGTCAGTCAGCTGGGGCCAGATCACCTCCAGCTCTGTGCCTGCTCTGCACTGGCGTCTGCATGATTAGTGGGGATGGAGACGACTTCATTCATTCATCAGATAATTCCTGGGGTCCGAATGTATAATAGGCCCTGAGAACAGAGCTGTGAATGAGACGGACAGGCCTTGTCTTCTTGGACTCAACAATGTAGTGGGGTCAGTCACCTAGTCGTTGGTGACAGCTCAAGGGTGAGAATGACTGGTGTTTGATCTGATGCCTATCGATGAGGTAAAGGAACAAAGGGGTGTTTCTGCTGGGAGGCAGGAGGGAGGGACAGAGGAGGAGCTGAAGAAAGCTGGGACTACAAGTTTCCTTCCTAACAACTTCCTACACCCCCAGGCGGCCACAACCAAAGTCCCAGAGATCCGTGATGTGACGAGGATCGAGCGCATTGGTGAGTGATTGAGCTCAGAAGCAGGACTTAGACCCTGCCTGCCACATGTCCTGCTCCTGTTCATTAAGGGAGGATCCTGAGTTCCAGAGTGGGGTCAGATAGGTGGCCACATGGGGCCCCAACCCAGGTTATGTTGCTAATGCTTGGCTACTCAGTGGGCTCCTGGGTGTACCTGCCTGGAAGTCATAAAAGAGGCCCTCCACTGGGAGCTTTCTGGGGTTGATCCTGAGCCATGTGCCTCACACACCAAGAACACACCAGGGCCTGTGCTCCCTGAGGGTTGGGCCCAGGTCTGGCTCATTCCTCCCTGTGTCCGAGCACGGGGTTTCCAGAGCAGAGGCTCAGCAGACGACTTCAATTGCATGAGCCTCTGTGCTTTGGAATCTTCTCAATAACCTAGGAGGTGCATAATGATCTGTTGTCCTGTTTTTAGCTAAGGTCACTGAATCTCAGAGTCTCCACGTAACTGGCCCATCTCACACAGCAAACAGCCAGGTCCAGGAGCAGAAAGTTGAGGCACAGTGGCTAGCAAGGTACAGCCCCTAGATGGACTTCTTTTGGAGGAAAGAAACTGAACTCATTCATTCAGAGCCTCTGAGAAAGGCAGGAAGGGATTATGGCTCTGAGCTTAGCTTCTGGAAGCTTATTGCTAGAGTCTGAGCTCAACTTCTGCCACTTCTGAGCTTGTGGCTAGGGACTTCATCTCTCCATGCCTCAGTTTCCTTGTCTGCAAAATGGTAAACATAAAATTCAGTAAGATAATCTGTATGAAGCACTTGTAGGTATCAAGAGTACTTTACCCATCAAAGGGCCAGGTCTTGCTGGGAGCTAAGGACCTGGTGAAGACTAGCACCACCTTGTAGCTTCCGTTTAATGCTTATAGTCTACCACAGGGTTGGCAAATCTTTTCTTAAAGGGCTAAATGAAAAATCTTTGATGAGACTTACTCAACACTTCCACAGTGCAAAAGCAGCATAGTTGGTGAACGAGTCAGTGTAACTATGTTCCAATAAAACTTTATTTGCAGAGCCCATAGGCTGTAGTTTGCTGGGCCCTATTCTGGTGTGAAGCACTGGAGTTCTGTCTTCACTCTCACTGGCTGTGTGGTCTGGGGCATAGAACTTGACACCTCTGGGTTCACTCCATCCACCCCTGTGTGGGAGGGCCTGGGGCTATTGTCATTGATCTCCAGAAGTGCTCCCTGGGTGATAGTAGCCTGAGCTCTTGTTTCTCAGGGTTATGTGGAATGAAACTATTGTGAGTGCTATAGTCAGCCATAAATACCAAGTAATTATAATTGTTTACCCTCATGGTTGGGTTCTTGAGCTGATTATGTGCTGTACCAGGTCTCAGTGATTTTAGTCCAACTACAGTGTATCCTAGAAGCAGCTCCAGTTAACTGAGCATTTATGTTCATCCATCCTCTTAGTGGGGTGGAGATTTGGGTCCCCTGTTTGATCAAAAAGAATATCAGAGGTTGGAGGGAAGCCCCTCACCTCACACCAAGCGTTCTCATAAGCTGGCCAGTAACCATGTCTCCTGATTATGCCTCTACACACAGGTGCTCAYTCCCACATCCGGGGACTGGGGCTGGATGATGCCTTGGAGCCACGGCAGGTAGAGTAAAGGGGACTGGGGTGTGAGGGCTGCTTCATCACTGCCCTGGGCAGTGGGCAACATGGCTCTGGGGATGTTAGGTACTGTGTTCTGGTCTTTCAAGACTTTAAATACATATTTATAAAATTCAATCACACATGGGGGGTTTTTTTKGGGGGTACTGGGGATTGAACTCAGGGGTACTCAACCACTGAGTCACATTCCCAGCCCTATTTTGTATTTTATTTATTTAGAGACAGGGTCTCACTGAGTTGCTTAGTGCCTTGCAGTTGCTGAGGTTGGCTTTGAACTTGCAATTCTCCTGTCTTAGCCTCCCAAGCCTCTGGGATTACAAGTGTGCGCCACTGTGCCCGGCCACACATGGAGTTTTATTAAGTTAGAGTAGAGAAAACGTCTTTCTTTTTTTTTTTTTTCCAATTGTTGATGAACCTTTATTTTTTATTTATATATGGTGCTGAGAATCCAACCCAGTGCCTCACACTTTCAAGGCAAGTGCTCTACCAGTGAGCCACAACCCCAGCTCCCATTTTTCTTTTTTCAGTAGTCCCAGGCACCAACATCTGCTTTCATTTCACTAACCAGGATGTAGTAAAAACGCAGTGGCAGCCCAGTAGGAAGTCACCTCACACGCTCTCACCTCCCACCTACAGGCTTCCCAGGGCATGGTGGGTCAACTGGCAGCCAGGCGGGCAGCCGGAGTGGTGCTGGAGATGATCCGAGAAGGGAAGATTGCTGGGCGGGCGGTCCTCATTGCAGGCCAGCCGGGAACTGGGAAGACAGCCATTGCCATGGGTAAGAGGCTTCCTGGGGGGCTGGGRCTGTGGCTCAGCGGTAGCGCACTTGCCTGGCATGTGTGAGGCACTGGGTTTGATTCTCAGCACCACGTATAAATAAATAAAATAAAGATCTGTCAACAACTAAGAAAAAAAATTTAAAAAGGAAAAAAATTTAAAAAAAATAAGGCCTCATGGGGCAGTTTTCCTGATCTCTGTGAAATAATTCCTCCTATGTAAGTCAGGGTCGGGTTCAGCTGCATTTGATGGACAACCCAAAGTCACAGTGGCTTAAACATCCAGGGTTCATTCTTTCACATAGAAGGCCCTGAAGTAGCCATTTAGGACTTCTTGAGCAGTTCCATGAGGTCTTCTATCTTCCTACCTCAACATTCTCTGTACTTGCTTGTGTGTTAAAGTCACCTCGTGTTCTAAGTAGGCTACCTATGCTCCAGCCTTCCCAGCTATTCCCCAAGCAGAGGAAGAAAAAGAATTGTATGAAGGTGTACCTTCCTACAGTTAACTCCCTTGAGGCAGCTTTCTTAGAAATCCCATGTACTTTTGACTAGAAATTGGTCCTATGGTCACACTCTGCTGCAAAGGAGACTGAGCCATTAAGGAAGTTTAATTTTTAGATTTTTGAATTTGGATTATTGTTGCCTTAATGAGGATTCTAGAACTGAGGAAGAAAAGGAAGAGGGTCGTTGAATAGACAGTTAGCAGTCCCTATAGCAGCCCACTAATGATTCATGATCTCTTTACTCAGTAGCCATCTCATCTTGTTGAACCTCATCCTTCAGAACCTACTCAGCCAGGCATGGGGCGCATGTGTGTCATCCCAGGGACTTGGGAGGCTGAGAAAGGAAGACTGCGAATTTAAAGCCAGCCTGGGCATCTTATTGAGACTCAGCAGTTTAGCAAGACCCTGTCTCAAAAAGTAAAAGAAGAACTGGGGATGCAGCTCAGTAGTAAAGCACCCCCGGGTTCAATTCGTAGTACCAAAACAAACAAAAAACCACTCAGTTATCTCAGCCTCCAGTCCTTTTTGTTTCTTATTTTGAGGCAGAGTCTTACTTAAGTTATTCAGGCCAGACTTGAACTTGTGATCCTCCTGTCTCTGTCTCTCATGCAGCCAGGGTTACTGTTGTGCGCCTCCACCTGCTCTATGAGGCTTGCTTTGACCCGCTTTTCTTTGCATTCAATTCCACCTGCGCTCAGACTGTGGAGCTAGGCAGTGAGAATCCAGATAACCAGGATTTCAGTTAGGAAAAGGCAGGAGTCACTCAGCTGCCCTGGTGTGCCTGGCCTTGACTAGACCTTGAGGACCCATAGCTCCAAGGCTTGGACTTAAGGGAGCTTCCAATCTAAGGAGGTCGCTTTGACATGGTCCCATTCTAGGTGATGTGTGCTATGGTAGAAGTAGCATAAGATGGAAGAAGCTCTTGACCCTATTAGGAGGGGAAGGGAAATGTGGCAGGTGGAAGGGGTGGCTTCCCAAATAAGTGGACCCTGGAGAGACTTGCCACGGAGGAGATGTGGGGGACCTGGTGCCAGAAGCCACCTGCCTACCCGCCTGCTTCTCCCCAGGCATGGCCCAGGCACTGGGCCCGGATACCCCGTTCACAGCTATCGCCGGCAGTGAGATCTTCTCCCTGGAAATGAGCAAGACCGAGGCGCTGACACAGGCCTTCCGCCGGTCTATTGGTGTTCGCATCAAGTGAGCGCTGGGCCCGTTGTCAGGGTGGGAGGGTTGTCCCAGCTCCCARTGGCCAAGGGACAACCCATTTATGGTGCTGTCCTTTGCCCAAGTGCCTGTGGGAGCTGGTGATTCCTGAGGGCCCAGGTGTTGGACTGAGCCCTCAGGTCTGTTCTCTGGCCAGGGAGGAGACTGAGATCATCGAAGGGGARGTGGTGGAGATCCAGATTGATCGGCCAGCCACAGGGACGGTGAGTCTGCGAGTGTGTTCCTGGCTGAGGTCGCCTCCACCCCGGGGTTGGAGGGCAGGGTTGTCAGGTCTGTACTGAGATCAGAATTCCATAGAAAATTCTAGCTACAGGTCAAAGCTATTCAAGTACCGGCTGCAGGGGTTAGTTGAATTGGCCGTGGTTTATCCCTTGTCCAGGGACCTGGTGAGCTGTTAAGACTGGGCTAGTGGAACCATGAGAGAGGAGTTCTGGAATTTTCTCACGGTTCACTTCTACCAGTTAGGCTTTAAAACCTGCTCTGTGGGATTTAAACAGCTTAGTGCCCAAGGGTGTGCCCATCCAGCCTCTGAGACAGAGGTGGTTCACTCCCTTTTCTTTAAACTAAAAATTTTCTGTTATAAATAAAACATATATAAAGAAACATGTTCTAAAAAGTGTGAATTCTTTTTCATAAATCATTATGAAACAAATACCCTATAACCACTCCTAAGAAAAAACTTAAATTTGCTAGCCCATCAGAACCCTTCCGTCACCGAGGCTGCCACAGAAGTGGCCATCCTTCTCTGTATTTGCTTCTTGCAGCATTTTTTTTTTTTAATATTTATTTTTTAGTTTTTGGCAGGTACAATATCTTTGTATGGGGTGCTGAGGATCGAATCCGGGCTGCATGCATGCCAGGCAAGCGCGCTACCGCTTGAGCCACATCCCCAGCCCTTCTTACAGCATTTTTAAAAGAGTCTTCAGCACCCAGCTGGGAGTTCTTAGATGCTATGGTTTGTCCTGCCTGTGGTTTTCTCTCTTCTTTTTTTTTTTTTTTTTTTTTTGAGATAAAATCACATAATGCAAAATTAGCCATTTTAGAGTTGAAATTCAGAGGCACTTAGTACATTCACACTGTTGTGCGACCATCACCTCCATCTAGTTCTAGAGCTTTTCCACAGTCCTAAAAGGAACCTGTCCCCTAAGCATTGGGTCCTCATTCTCSCTGTCCCCCAGCCCTGGCAGCCATTGGTCTGCCTCCTGGTCTCTGGACTGCCCGTTCTGGGCATTTCGTGGAAATGGACATGTTCAGTTTGTGGCCCTTTGTGTCTGGCTGCTTCCACTCTATGTGATGTTTTTGACGTTCATCTGTTTTTGTGGTTATCTTTTATATTAAGTCTCCACTGCTAATAAAATGCTTAGGAAAAGAAAAATTCAAATATACTTCAAGCCATTGACCTAATCCTTGGTCACCTTTGTCTTCGGTTTTGTATATACATCCTCTTCTTTTTTCATATGCTCCTCATTTTTAATTAACATTAACTTGCAGCTTTAATAACTACAAACAGTCCTTTAAAATTAGTTCCATGTATAACCAATTAAATTTTGAATGGTAAAATATGGCAAAATATTTAAATATGGGGAAAGCTATTTCCAAGGTAAATCTTTAAACYGGATTTTTGTCATAAAAGAAGTCCACAGATGTATCTTCCCCATGAAAAATGTCAACCCAGTGGTCAAGGGCGAAGTGCGGTGATGCCGGCCCTGGTTTGAGGCCCTGGCTTCCACCCCTAGCACTGCCAGGGGGAAAAAAAAAACAAGTAAGCCCAGAACTCCTTTTTATTCCCTCCTTTAATCCTGGCCTTTAATCCTGCCTCATGTCCCTACAAAAGGCTTGCAGCTTAATTCCAGACTGCAGAGATAGTCGGGATCCCTGGGGAAAGCTGGGACAGTGTTAACTGAGCTTATCTTGTGGGGAGGAGGTGTGAAATTTCTCTTTTCTCCTTTTTGTTTAGCTGTTTTTTTTCCCAGCCGGCTTGGGCACACCTATAGTCCCAGCTGCTCAGGATGCCGCTGGAGGATCACTTGAGCTCACAAGTTTGCTACTAGCTTGGGCAACATAATGAGACCACATCTGAAAAGAACCAAAATCAAGACACCCTTTTTTGAGTTGAGAAGTGAACATTASCTTGTGATCCACTTTAGGCCTGTGGTACTGGTTTCAGTAATTTATGTTTATTGTATTTATAAACAGCTTCGTTGAGTTGTAATTAACATACAGTGAGCTGTACATATCAAAAGGGTTCTGCATGGCGAGCTCAGACCTGTGTGTCCCCATGTCAAGGCAGTGGGTACATCCCTCTCCCCAAAAGCTGCCTGCCCAGTTAGTTTGGAGCTGGGTAAATAGTGAATGGAGTAGGAGCAGGGAGCTTCATGGTGACATCAGAGTCCTCTGAGCCCTTTCCCTGGCTTGTCACTTTCTCAGGGTTCCAAGGTGGGCAAGCTGACCCTCAAGACCACAGAGATGGAAACCATCTACGACCTGGGCACCAAGATGATTGAGTCACTGACCAAGGACAAAGTCCAGGCCGGGTGAGCAGCTGGAGACTGCACCGAGTAGCTGGAGTTTTGGGGGAAGTTTAGGTCCTTTCCTTTCCTCACTCCTGTTCTTCCTCCTGCAGGGATGTGATCACCATCGACAAGGCCACAGGCAAGATCTCCAAGCTGGGTCGCTCCTTCACACGTGCCCGTGACTATGACGCCATGGGCTCCCAGGTGCAAATGGGGCCCTCGGATGTTTCCATCTCCTCTCCTACTCCTTAGCCCATGGAGCCCTGCTGTCGTCCTGACCCTGTATCCCTTTGGTACTCCTGGGTGTTCCCTTAACCCTAGGGTAGCTGGGACCTCTCAGCCTAGCACTGCAGCTCTGCATTGCCCCAGGCTGCCCATGCTGTCCAAAGCTTTGGGAACCCCATAACCATCAGTACTCTTCAAGGACCTAGTCTCCCTTAGACCGACCCCCCACCATGCCCTTCTCTGCCCTCACACCCCACCCTTGCCCTGTAGACCAAGTTTGTGCAGTGCCCAGATGGAGAGCTCCAGAAACGCAAGGAGGTGGTGCACACTGTGTCCCTGCATGAGATCGATGTCATCAACTCCCGCACCCAGGGCTTCCTGGCTCTCTTCTCAGGTCAGCATCTTTCCTCAGACACCTCTGCTCCTTGACTTTCCTTCGGCCCCTACTAGCTGTCTGCTGTTCTTTCTCAATGAGTTTGGTTCGTTCTTCTCCGTTATTGCCATCCAAGTCCCTCTCTCAGGGGGTATGAAATGGGCAGACCCTGTCCCCTTTCCTTCCTCTCTGGTGCTATTTCAGACTCCCTGGTTCTTTGATGGTTTTACCACCTTGGTCTTTCTCGCCTTCGTCCATCCCTGGCATCCATCTTTTTCTATTTGCCCACCCTTCAGCCTTGGACCTGTCTCCTCTCTGATTTCCATGATGCCACCTGTCTCCTGCAGGTGACACAGGGGAGATCAAGTCAGAAGTCCGTGAGCAGATCAATGCCAAGGTGGCTGAGTGGCGTGAGGAAGGCAAGGCAGAGATCATCCCTGGGGTGAGTGGCCAGAGCAGTGGCCAGGGTCCCGGGCAGGTGTGGTGAACAGATGGTGAGTGTGACACGTGCCCAATGGCTTCCAGGTGCTATTCATCGATGAGGTACACATGCTGGACATTGAGAGCTTCTCCTTCCTCAACCGGGCCCTGGAGAGTGACATGGCGCCTGTCCTTATCATGGCCACCAACCGTGGCATCACAAGGTGAGTGCTTGCAGATGCTTATGTTRGTGACAGGGTGCTCTAGGCGGGAGTAGTCTCAAGGAGACAGCACAGTGGCCCTCATACCACAGTGGTCACACATGAAAGGTGAACTTTTCCTTCTAGTTAGGCCATGGTTCAGGGCCACAGGCAGCTCTGCCCAACAAGGAGGCCTTGCTGCTCCTGTAGCCCTTAGGCTTCAGTTCCCAGACTGCATGCAGAGACAGCCCAGTGCTGCAGGTCACTCACTGGGGTACTCCAAGGGCTTTTTAAATTTGGGGAGAACAGTGATACCTTAGATGCTGCATAAACCTCTATAATCAATTAAGTGACTTAGAGTTAAATTCTTAGTCATCAAAATTCTTAGTATTGTTTTTTACCTAAAGAAGTTGTGGAATATTCCTGAGACACATAGGGTACAACGTTCAGGTAAAACCCTCTACCCTAGGGTGTTACTGGCATTCTACTGTGGTCCCAGCTGGCTCTGCTCTCCACTTCATCCACCTTTGGAATCACAGGAATAGGAACGGAGGAGGCGAGCAGGCAGCCTGCAAGAAAGAGGATTTGGTCTGGAGGCTGTACCAGCGCTTCCATGCTTGGGTGCCTGGCTGTGCCTGGCTGCAAGAGAGCCCAGGGAGTGTTGTCTCCAGTGCCACATGCCCGGCTGAAGCTGGATATGGGCGTGGTGTCACTAAGGGAAGTGGGAGACACGGCTGCACAAGGCAGTGGCAGCTTTATCTGGCTCTATTCCTGGATGGACTTCTTGAACCTTCAGAGAAGTTCAGAAGGAAGCTGGGAATTAGCTCAGTGCTGTACATATGCTAAGTGTGTGCCAGGCCCCAGATTCCATTTCTAACACCAAAAGAAAACCAGAAGGTAGATATCAGCTCAGCCTCAATTTGCAGACCAGACCAGCAGTGACTTGTTATGGCGATRCATCAAATTGTATCAGAGCCTGAAGAGGTGCTCTGAGCCCTGTGTTTGCAGTAGCTGCAGATCAGGGTTTGGAACCCTCCGGGGCATTGGGAGGATGCTGACCAGTTTGCAGATTCCGTGTTTATGAATCTATTTTTTTGTTTCTTTTAATTTTTTTTAAGTGGTAGATGGACACAATATCTTTATTTATTTATTTTTATGTGGTGCTGAGGATCGAACCCAGTACTTCACATGTGCAAGGCAAGCRCTCTACCACTGAGCTACAGCCCCAACGCATGCATCTGTTTGCTTGCTAACACTTATCTATAATCCCCAAATCAATTTTTCAGGGTCCTCTTGCTGTCACAGGTGTGCACAGAGTGGCAAATTAAAACCTCCTGATGCCACAATCTCAGCTRAAGCTGCTGGGCGTCACTCTGCCTGCTTGTTTCAGCTCCCATGTTGTAAACCAGTGCCATTTTCCTGAATGATTTAGTGCCATGTTTGTCACTTTGTGCTTGTTTGGTGATTTCAGTTAAAAAGTCTCTCAAGCTTAGTGCTGAGGTGCACTTAGTGTTCGTAAGCACCGGAAGGCTGGGATGAGCCTTGCAGGTATGCACCGGGCCTCAAGCAGACATGAATGGCAGTGCTGCTGGCTAGGAGCTCAGTGTGAGAGGTCCATAGCATGTTCTCACAGAGACTTGGTGATGATTGGTTGGTGATAGTGTGGTGACCAGGGCTCACAGGGACCTAACCCTGCCTTTTTCCTCAKGAGCAGTGGCTCTGTATGTTACCAGTGACTTTACAATGCAGCTGCCATGAGTATTGAGAATTGCCTTATTTCCTGTCACTTATCATGAGCCAGGCCTGTACTTGCCCAGGTGTAGCAGGGAACAAGGCAGCATGGTCCTTTTCTTTCTGGAGCTTTGTGTGGAGCAGGGAGTGGGACCTTGATCCAGTAATCCCTGGTGTAGATACCTAGGATCAGCTGAGGAGGGTGCTCAGGGGATTGACGCAGCTGGGGAAGGCTGTGCAGTCAGGAGGTGATGTAAGCGAGGAGCTGAAGGTTACGTGGTATTTAGTCCACAGAGTGGGCTGTGATGGATAGGTAGGTAGGAATATTTTGAGAAATGGGAACAGAGAGCTGGGTTCTGGGAACATCACCTGACAGCCCTTCCTGCTCTCTTCCCCAGGATCCGGGGTACCAGCTACCAGAGCCCCCATGGCATCCCCATTGACCTACTGGACCGGCTGCTTATCGTCTCCACCTCTCCCTACAGTGAGAAGGACACAAAGCAGATCCTCCGCATTCGGTAAGTTGGGTGGCCCCGTGCCCTCCCTGTTTTAGTAAGGTCGGGCAGGGCCTGCCTGGGCCTGTGGAGAGAAGTCTAAGTGGGGCATCCTGGCAGTGACATCTGACCCAGAGGAGGTACTGGTGACTGATATGGGGAAGAAAGCCTTAGATTGAGGGTCAGGAGGTCCAGGCGCACCCTGCCTCAGTGGCTCTTCTAGCTTCAGCAACCTGTGGTACTGAGATTCATGCTCCACTTGTACCCCAAGGGCAAAGAGCCAGGGGGATCCTGCAGTCAGAGGCCCAGCTCTGGCTGAGTGTCTGTCYCCTGCCCACCCGCCTGCAGGTGTGAGGAGGAAGACGTGGAGATGAGCGAAGACGCCTACACAGTGCTAACCCGCATCGGATTGGAGACTTCCCTGCGCTATGCTATCCAGCTCATCACAGCTGCTAGCCTGGTGTGCCGGAAACGCAAGGTCAGCCAGCTGAGTCAGCCAGCAGGGGCCAGATTGAATGAATGACCCACTCCTCAAGGGCTTTCAGTCGGGACTTATATTAAGTCCCAGAGTATATGTTTTCAAAGGCAGGGAATTTTTATCCTTAGTGCCTTAGTGTTTGCTTGTTTCTTTTTTCTTTTTATTTTTTTTGGCAGAGCTGGGGATTGAACCTAGGGCCTTATGTATGCAAGGCAGGCACTGTACTAACTGAGCTATATCCCCAGCCCCACTTAGTGTTTGTTTCTTTATCTCTTGTCCAGGCACATAGTAGGTGCTCAGTAAATACTAATTATAAGTAGATCCTAAGTTCATCTCACAGAGGAAGAAATTGAAGGACAGAGAGGCTGGTCTGCTCATCAAAAGGTGGATGAGGCCAGATTTGAACCCAGGAGATCTGGCCCAGGATCCTCTCCCTTGTCTGCCAGCCTCTGTTGCCTGGGATGTGGCAGTGGCTTAAGCTGGGGTCTGTGTGCCCTGGGCCTCTTGGGGAAGGCCCACTGAGGACTTGCCCTCCCTTTTTAGGGCACAGAGGTGCAGGTAGACGACATTAAGCGGGTCTACTCACTCTTCCTGGACGAGTCCCGCTCCACGCAGTACATGAAGGAGTACCAGGATGCCTTCCTCTTCAATGAGCTCAGTGAGTGTCCCTAGTCTGTGCCCAGTGCTCCCACTGTCGCTCTTGATGGGCAGCATGGGAAGCTTGGTGGGAGAACTCAGGCCCTGTCTCCAGGCCACACTGACCAGGTGGCTTCCTTCCCTTCTCCCCACAGAAGGTGAAACCATGGATACCTCCTGAGCTGGATGCCGCCTCTGTACCCCCCCGTTTTCTACCAGAGTTCTGACACTGTGACTTTGTATAAAATGGTTTTGAAATTGAACCCAAGGTGTGCTGTGTGTGTGCCGCCCTGAGCCCACAGAAGGACACCTACAGAGTGCAGATTGAGAAGCCTTTATTGGGAGGGGAGGACTGGAGCACGGGTGGGCTCCAGAAGCTGGGGTGGGCAGTGAGTTGGGAGGGGAGGCCCTTAGAGGAAGAGGAGGCCTGGAAGGTGGGGGAGGTCACAGGCCAAGGGTTGAGCTCTGGGACCCCCGCAGTCAGAACTGCTGAGGCGACAGGGCCCACAGTGGCAGCTGAGGGCCACTGGGAAGGAAACTATGGGGTCCACACCAGGCGGGCAGCCGGGGAGCCGGATGGAGGAGAAGCGCAGCTCACGGTAGGTGCACACTGGCTGGGGCACAGGCGGCAAGGCAGCTGGCAGTACCCGAACCTGGGGGCAGGATGTGGGCGGCAATGAGCATCTGCTTGGCATCAAGTCTTGGTCTCAGATGACCATGAAATCACCCACCACCTTTCCACACACCCAGCACTAACTCCCATCCCCCTGCCCCAGATGCCAGACCATCCATCCACCCTGCTGCCACCTCCGGTCTTGTGTGGGTGTGCAACTGAAGTGGCAGCCCCCTCCTCAGGCCAGAAGTGCTGTCCTGCCTGCTGGGTAGCTCACCATGCTGGGGCAGTAGCCAGCACAGATGCTGGTGGTGAAGGTGATGCAGACTGGGCAGGCCTCGTGCTCAGCAGCCAGGGTGGCGTTGATAGGCCGACACAATGGCCGAAGTGGCCCCCTAGAGGCCCATACCCCACTCATGCTCAGCAGCAGCCACAGCAGCAACCCCTGGGACAAGGCCAGTGCCTCAGGCCCAGCCTGAGACCTCAGCCCTTGCCCTCCAGTCTCCTGAACACACACATTCAGGACTGGGGGTCCTGCCCAGTGTCTCCATTCAGAACATTCTCTGCTTTGATCCTCTATCCCTGACACAGGCCTTCAGGGTCCACCCCACATCCCAAGGGACCCCAGATGCCCCAGTTGTTAAGATACCTACCCTCAGGTGTGCTCCACCCACTTCCCTCCTGCAGGAAGCCTGCTGGTTGTCACCCTGCTAGAAAGAGGCTTCCTTCACAGGTCACAAGACTCCCTCTATGCCAACTGTGGCCTGGGTGGAGTTGGGAGGTGCCCAAGGGCCCTACAATCTTACCTGGAGCATCTCCATTCTTGATGCCTCCCCTACTTCCTCTATCTGGCTTTATACCTGTAGGTTGTGGGGGCGGCAAGGCCACTAAGCAGTGGCAGCAAGCTGGGGTAACCTGGACACTAATCCCCCTGGGGGCGAGAGACAGACAAGGTCAGGGAAGCACAGGAGTGCTCTGCTCCTCCCCTTGGTGACTTGGTGACTCTGGTTGCAGGGGTGAGTCACCACAGTGATGGTGAAGGCACAGACTCAGACCTGAGCCTAGTCCCTGTTGGAAGCACAGGAAGTGGGATACAAGAGTTCCTGGGCCAGCTGGGTGTGGTTGTGCATGCCTGTTAATCCAGGGGGCTCTTTAGGCTGAGACAGGAGAATCACCAGCCTCAGCAAAAGTGAGGCACTAAGAACTCAGTGTGACCCTSTCTCTAAATAAAATACAAAACGGCTGGGAATGTGGCTCAGTGGTTGGATGCCCCTGAGTTTAATTCCCTGTACCCCCCCCCCCCAAAAAAAAAATCCCTGGGCCCATCACAGGAGGAAGGCTGTAGACTCTAAGTCAGAGGTTCTTGGCTGAAGCCACAACTCTGCTGCACTGGGACAGGCTGAAAGACAGGGTTCCCCTGGTAGAGTCCTACAGGAGTGGGTTGGGGAGCTTCAGTATTAGATTCTATGCAAAGAGGGCTTCTAAATTTCTGTGCTGAGCATCTCCCCCACACCCACATTCTCAGAGGTTAAGGCCCCAGAAATGAGTGTGATTTCGGTTATTTAACTCATCGACTACATTAGGACCCGCCCCCTCTTCTGCAGAGGACTTGTCCCTTTTGCTCAGCTTCAATACAAGTTTCCTGGAGTCCAAAAAGGAGTGAGCRTGTCTAGAGTTAGCCCGGTCCACATTAAAAAATTCGATAGGCGTATCTGGCACAGCCCCACCTAATGGGTGGGGCTCCTGAGCTTGGCTCCACCTCACAGTTTAGCAGGTGGGTTGGGGGCTGGACTGGCCCGGCCAGCTCAGACTAACTCTGGCTTCAAACTGCCATAGCGAGAGTTCTCGGTGCGGTAGGCTTTAGGCACGCTGTAGRTGCCTGGCAAGGGCTTCCAGTGGGGGCCACCCCAAGGCGCCTCCACTGGGCAGAAGCGGTCAAGCCGGTGAAGTGGGTGCGCCGGGGGGCTGTAGGACTCCTGAGCCAGAGTCAGGGCCCCGCGGTGCGGCACGGCTGGAGTCCCTGGGCGCACGTGGGGCAAGCGGGCCCGCGGTGGTTCGGGCGGCAGCGAGAAGCGAGAAAACTGTGTCCGCTGCGAGCCGTGGCCCTGGACCTGAGGCATCTGGAACTTCCAGTAGGTCAGCGTGTCTTTGCAGGGGTATCCGGACAGCTCCTTCCTGTGGGAGGGAGGCARCATGGGGAGGGCTGCATCCTTGGGACCAGGCTGAGCTTCAAACCTCTGATCCGAAGGAGACCCCAGACCTGAACTTTCTGCTTTTCGAGGGAGGGACACGTTTGTAGAAGCTTTAGGAAGGGGACCCCGAGACATGGAATCCGGATTCCTGGGTCGATGAGGTACTTAAGGGCCTGGAAATTGGTGTTTTCTCATCCTTGGGAAGGAATATCTGGGGGCTCAAATATGGAAAGAAGTTCCACCCTAAGCCATCAGGACCCCGCCCCCAACTCCAAAGCCCTCTCACGAGCTCTCTGCAGGCTTCCTAACCTACCAAGTTAAGAACACCTAGATGCTAATGGAGGTAGAGGCTAGGGTCCGAACGTCGGTTCTTGCGTGTGCAAGAGTTGAAGGTTGAGTTAGAAAAGAGGACTGGGCTCCCACCGGCATCTACGGGGATGTGCTGCAGGGTGGTGCCTAGCAAGGACGTGGGCTCACTTTGTGTAGAAGCGGAAGTCTCGGGCAGAGGTGGTCAGATAGAGCTGATTGTGGTCCAGGACTCCCTTGTCGGATATTGCGAAAGGCCGGCCAGCCAGCTCAGAGCTCTTCGTCCAGGGAATTAGGGCCTGAGGGAGATTGGGTGGGGGATGGGCAAGAAAGATGCCAAGTACCCGGTTCCAAGCCCGGGGTACAGGCTCTTCCATTTCAACAACCCTGCTGGACCAGGCCCTACTACTGTGCCCCTAGATCAGAATTCCTCCCGACCAATCCCACACCAGACTACTTTAGCTTCGCTCCTTAATTCAGAACCTTTATGAGCCCTCCTGCTCCAATCCAAACACTTCTTACTAGTYAAGGAATTTAAATCCAAACCCGCAGCCACAAAAAAGTAAAACATACCTTCCCAGTTCCACTACCAAACATTTTTGGTTCTGTTACTGGAACTCAGCAGCATTTTAGGCAAGAATTCCACTTTACCTTTTCCTCGCCAGCTAAACCGAATCTCACCTCCCATCCCTACCCGGTCTCAGAATACTCTAGTCTCCTCCCCAGGGACGGAGAGCCACCTGKTCCGGTCCCACCAGCCTAAGGCTTCTATTTAGCTCTGCACCAGCCTCGCCGTCCCTACCACCTTTAGGCTCCGCCTCAAAAGGCCCAAGCCCCGCCCCAGCCTCTGTATCCCGTTTTCGGCTCTAGAGAGAGTGACAGAGGAGAGAGAGAGAGAGAGAGAGAGAGAATTTTTTTTAATATTTATTTTTTAGTTCTCGGCGGACACAACATCTTTGTTGGTATGTGGTGCTGAGGATCGAACCCGGGCCGCACGCATGCCAGGCGAGCGCGCTACCGCTTGAGCCACATCCCCAGCCCCGGCTCTATATCCTTTAACCACGCCGGAAAAGCAAAATTCCTTTTGGCTCAGCCCCAGGATTCCCTAGCCTGCTCCCTAACCTCAGAGCCCCTCCGACCCTGCCCCAGAGGTTCCAAACTCTGCGTGGTAGCACCAGCACTGTCTGCCACTACGCTACCTGGGAAGGGCCCCCGCGATGGTGGTCTGCCAGCTCCAAGGGCTGGGGCCCGACGTAGGAGACGACGCGCCGGTCCTGGCTGGGCCAACCCCTGTACTGTGCCTTGGTCTCGCTGCTGTGGTGTTTTGTGATCAAGGGGAGGCGCCAGCCTCGGTGTCTGAGCTGCACGAAGGTGACCCAGAGAACCAAGGTGAAGACAGGGGACTCCATTGCGGTCCCCAACCCTATCCTCCTATGGACTCCGGATTCCCAGAACCTTACTTTTTCTCCTAAGGTCTTAATCCCTACTGTCCGCGTGGGGTCCGCAGGCTCTGGGGCTTTGGGCTGAGCGTAGGGCCCACCCAGGCTTTTGGGCACGTGGGCCGAACCGTAGGTCGTCTCCCATCTGCTGATGACTTCGTCAAAATCCCAGATGTGTAAATGATGCCTTGCGGCGGGGGGTAGGGGCTCATCGACCGTGGACTGAGGAGAAGGCGCAGCAAATGAGCCAAAAAGACTCAGGAGTCCGCCCTGCCCCCTGTCCCAGTTCCTTCAGCCCGTGGTTCCTTCAGCATCCAGGTTCCCAGACCCCTTCTCTCTCAGGCCCAGGACTCCAGGACCCTCCTCCGACAGCCAGGGGTCCAAACCCCAATCCCCTTTTCTCTCAGCACCCAGATTTCTGTATCATTAAGCCCGTCTATGGTCCTCTCACCTGTACAGAGGGCGGGGGAAAGGGCGCGGAGGGGATAATGTGGTGGGCAACGCCACTGCTGGTTAGATGCCAATCCGGCCAGGATCCAGGCACCTCGGTTCCAGAAATGGGAGACCACGGGGGGCCATAGCGCAGGGCTAGGGTCCTACCCGCCATGGTCCCACCCCGCAGCCGGCGGCCTAGCCTGAGCTGGCTTGTTGTTGCTGTTGCCAGGTGACAGAATCCGCCCACCCTGAACCCAGCCAATGAAGGACTAGCCGGCTCCTGGATCGATGGAGACACYCGGGATAGAGACAGAGACTTTGAGAAAGGTGGACAGGGCCCCAAATAGGGGCATAGAAACCGATACACGGGGAGGGTGTGGAGACGGGGGGAGAGGGAAGGGGAGGGGCGGGCCGAACGAGGGTAGGGGGGCGGGGGCGGGGGGGGGAGAGAGGAGATCGGAGAGTTTCAGAGGGGGAGAAGGAAGGCAGACGCCGAAAAGCAGACTCAAGAGAGGAAGGAGGAAAGAGAGACCTCTTAGCACATCAAGGAATCCTTCAGAAATACCCCCTTTCCTATAGGGTTCAAACCCTCCAGCTGCCTCCCCCTCTGCCAGGCCTGCCCACCTCGGAGTAACGAATTCCAGACCCCAGGGTCGCTCCCCTCCACCCATGTGTGCTGAAGGAGCAGCGGCGCCGCCAGCCATCCTGCCTGCCTTTGATTTGGCTGAAAACTTCCACCTGGGTATAGGAGGAGGGAGCGAAGAGAAGAGACCCCAAGAGAAATCCACAGGGAAATACTTGAGGGGAAAAGGGGGTGGGAAAGCATATGCTGCTAAGAGACTAGAGACACAGGAAATTAGAGAGACAGAGGGAGGTGACAAAAAAGAGAGGAATCAAGGAGATGTAGAAACAGAGGCAGCAAACCCTGTCCTGTCCAGGGGCCAGTCTCAGGCCATGGAGGGGGGCAGGGCTATCTAGGTCCTTAGCACAAAGCTGGACCTAATTTTTTTTTTTTTGGTGTGTGTGTGTGTGTGTGTGTGTGTGTGCGCGCACTCGCGCATGCATGTAAGTGCCTACACATGTACACAGGTGTAGGACAATGCAGTGGTAATACATGGACATTTTGAGAGTGTGGGGACTTCCCTTGTCACCTTCTCACTATAATGAGCTATTGGTCAAGGCTTCTGCCTCCTCAGCCCCCATCATTTCATCCACCAGTTCTATCTTCAGACAGGGAAAACTGAGGCTGCCTTCTGCAGCCTGGCCCAGGGTTCATTGCCACCGCCCCCCGCACACCATCCAGACCTCGAAGACACTGTTGGATTTTCCTGGTCCTACTCAAAGCCTATCAGTGTCCAAGGAGCCCTTATCCCAGGTGAGGGCAGGCCAACTGTCAGAGCCTACTCAAGCTAGACAACTTTAAGACATATTCCATTTCCAATGTGGGGTAGAGGTTGGTACAGGAAAGTGGAGCTAGAAACCTGAATCCAACTCCCCARCCAGGGTTGGAGGATCCCGCATCATCCTGATAGTTCCTCTTATGATACAACCCCGTGTGTGCTCCCACTGTGATGGGCAGCTGGCCTACTACCCCAAACAGAATACCCTTTTTAAGCCAACATTTGCCCTCTGACCAAGAAGGAGTTCTCATTTGAAAGTATGCTCCCAGATAATTAAAAGCCTTCCATATACCATGTTTCTCAAGGTCCTCTGGCTAGTTGCTTGCATGTTCCAGTTTCTACTCAGCTACCACCCACTTCTTGACACATTCCTTCCTTGTCCCTCTCTCCAGAGTGGGTAAGGCAATGTCCTCTGAGCTTGAGAGGTCAGCAACTTAAAACCAAGGGCCTCTGGTTGGGGTTGTGGATCAGTGGTAGAGCACCTAGCACATGTGAACCACTGGGTTCTATCCTGAGCACCACATGAAAATAAAGTTATAAAAAAAAACAAAAACAAGGGCCTCTGATGGTCAAATCCATGAGAACCAATCTGAGCAGTAATGTATTGGGGCTGATTAAACAGTAAGCACTCAGTAAATATTGGCTATTATTGTTATTTCCATGATTACCCTTCAAGCTCCTTCAAGAGAACTCCTATTTATCCTTTGAAACCCCATTTGCTTTAGTTGTACATCCTGCATGGATTGAGATCTTAAAATTAGAGAGCTTTGATTTTGTGATCACTTAAGTTCCCAAACTGAGGCCCTTAGAGCAGCCAGGCCATCCTTGAAGTCCCTGAGCATCCAGATCTCTTCTTTGCCTGATCAGTTCCTGGGCATGGGCCTTATGCCCGGCCATTCCGGCTGAGTAGTGTGCAGACGCAGGCAGTGTCAATTCTTATCCATCGCCAGCCCACACGGCCCTGGGCATCAGAAGTCAATGCTCGCACATAAGACTGCTTGGCCTTGCACTCGGACACCCAGTGCTTCCGGTCCACGCCCCGGCAGCTTCCTCCACCTGCACCAGGACCATCTTCCCCAGCACCATCAGCCTTGCAACGTGTCTCGAAGAAGTACTGCCGGAGGGGGCTGCCACCAGCTGCAGGCACCTCACCTAGCACCTCCACCTCTCGCCCACGTAAGTCCACAGCTGTCCGACGGTCTGTCACCCAGCCACTCACTGCGTCACAAACAGCCAGCTCACCCCGGCGACTTGCTGGTGCCTTCTCACTCACCCCACGCCGACTGCGGTTGGCTGGGGCACCCGCTGGCTCCCCAAAGGCCCCAGCCTCCAGTAGGAAGAGCAGAGGGGGTCCAGCAGGGGCAACCCTGGACAGGGCTACTCGGGGAGACAGAAGGTCCCACTCAGGGGCCAGAAATGGGGGCAGTGTTGAGGGTGGAGGGTGGAGCTCCGCTGGGACACTGGGGAGGAAGAAGAGCAGGAGGATGGGGAGGGAGTAGGAGGGGTGGGGGAGCATCTCTCGGGCACCTGAGGACAGAGAGAGGGAGGCTAGGGTTAGAGAAGAGGTAGAAACCTCCAAGGAGCGGAAGGTCGGAACCACAGGGGGATTATATACTAGAACTGGGAAAGCCCTAGGGGAACCCTATGTTCTCAGACTTGGGTAACACCCAACTTGTAAATTAATAATAATTATTCAATTACTTTTACTTCATAGCCAATCAAATGGGGAAATGAAGGCTCAGAGAAGTTATTGACTTGCACCAGGTCTCACAGCCAGTAATGGCAGAGGTGGGCAACTCCACTTGGCCCTCCTGCCTCTAAAACCCCCAGGAATCCTAAGTCCTGTAGCTTGGAGGACAGTCCAAAACTTTGAAACCTGGAATTTGGAATCCTAGGGAGTCCCATTTTCAGCCCMAAATTACCACTAACTTCCCATCTCATGTCTGTCCTCATTTTTCCTGAGTATGAAACTGACCCTGGGCTGGGAGAGGCTGGTGGGGTGTGGTTATAGCTGTTTGTCTACAACATTCTGGAAGCCTGGAGAAATCTGGGAAGCAGCAGGTGTTTGCCAGACCTGTCAACACCTCCTCCACCTTGAAGCTCCGGGGCTGGGGGACCCTGTGGAGGACACAGGTGGCCCCCTCCTTCCTGACATCTCAGGAGAGGGAGGGGGCAACCACCTGGGGGAAGAAGGGGACAGACAGATTATATAGGCAGGTGGGGGAGGGGCTTGAGCCCCTGAGCACCCCCTTCCCAGACAGTGAACGCCAGGCCCCTTCCCAGAGCCCCCCTCCCTGCCCAGGTGATGGCTTCTGGCAGGATGGGAAGCAGATGGGGGAGAAGAGGGGAGGGGAGAGGCTGCAGATGAAGGAGACTGGAAAAGATTACATCTCCCCTCCTCCCATTCATCTCCCAGACAGGGCRGGGGCGGGGCTGGCCTGGCCTGGACACCCAGGTCCTGAGGGCCCACACTCAAGAAGCCCTGGGTCCCCGAGGCTGCTTCCTGGAATGTTCCCTCCTCACAGGACAGGCCAGGGCCCGCCCAAGACTTCTACTGCACATACCTGGAGTGGCTGCCTGCCCTGGCTGGGAGACGGGGAGATGGGAAGGTTGGGGTGTGAAAAAGAGCGCAGGTTGATCCAACCAGGACCGGGAGTGTGTCCCCAGCTGTCTCCACCCTCAGACTAAGCGTCCTGGTCCCCAGCTGCCTCCTTCGGACCAAGGAGTCCAGGCGCCTCCTAAGCCCCAGCCTGCCACCTCCTCCAACCCCGGAGTTCTAGAGTTTAGAACCTCCGGGTGCAAAAAAGTGCGAACTCCCTGTCTCTTCCCCCAGGAGATTCGGGCTGGGGACGCGGACCGAGTCGCGACTGGGGCAACCAGCTCCGCGTCTGGGACACTTTCCTCCTGCCTCAGTTTCCTCCGCCAAGCCCCGCCCTCCCGGCCCCGCCCCCGTCCCTCCCTACCCGAGGGCAGGGCGACCCGGACGCCGGAATCCCGGAGGAGGAGGCGCGAGGCTCTTACCTGGGGCGCCCTCCTCTGCTCCCCGGCTGCCCCTGGCGCGGCGGCGGCTCCTCCTCCGGCTCGCTGGCTGCAGGGACGCCCGCTGGCCGCSGGCTCCGCGCGGCTCGCGCTCGGGAGGGCCTGGGTCGGGGGCGGGGGCGGGGCGGCGCCCGACGGCGGAGGAGGGGCGGGGGATCCCGCCTTGCACGCGCGTGCCGGGACCTCGGAAGCCCGGCCTGGCTCGCGCAGCCCCCGCACCGCGGTCCCAGGAGTCGGGGCCCAGCCCCTCCCCCCTCAGACCCGGGAGACCAGGCCCCCGCCCCCGCTCCAGACCCCGGGGTACCAACCCCAGCCCTCCTCCCTCAGACCAAGGGTCCTGGATCCCAGCCTTCCTCCCTCAGATTCGTGTGTCTAGACCCGGTTCTCCTCCCTCGGATCCAGGGTCCAGGCCCTCCTCTTTCAGGCCCTCCCTCAGATCCAGGGGTACCGGCCCTCCAGCCCCTCCCCGCTCAGATCCAGGGGTACCGGCCCTCCAGCCCCTCCCCGCTCAGATCCAGGGGTACCGGCCCTCCAGCCCCTCCCCCCTCAGATCCAGTGGTCCAGGCCCCAGCCCTCCTCCCTCACACCCAGGAGATGGGCCTGAGATCCTTTGCAGTCTTTTGCCAATTCGGTGTCAATCTGGGGACAGATTCCCACCCTCTGCTCTCATCCCCACTTTCCCAGGAGCTCCCCGCCAGACATTAACCAGCTGGGCTTGGGCAGCGATAAGGCCCGACGCCTCAGAGACAGTGGACGTGGGGGGCTCTCCTACAGAGTCCTGTCTCCTGGAATTTCCTGGGTGGGGACTGGGGAGAGGGTCTTGTCCTGAGCTCAGTCAAGAAAAATTCGAGGTATTAAAGGACTTGGGGACAAAAATGTTTTTAGAACAGGGTGACCTGTCTAGAGAAACTGAAATGATTCAGATGCAGAGGGGAGGAGAAGCCATAGAAATAGAGGGAAAAGGACGGAGACTAAGGCAAAGAGGCGGGCAAAGACCTAGGGCGAGGGATGGGGAACAAAGACCTGGGCAGAGAAGACAGAGGGGCAGACATCCCAACAGAAGGGGAGGGAACCGGGGAGGGACAGGGCCTCGGAGAGAGCCCTTAAGAGATGAGATAGGAGCTAGAGAGTCCGGGACGGCCCTATGGGTGGCAGGGCCTTCACCCTACCACACCTCCATCCTGGGACTCTGCTCCCCTCCTCTGAGCTATTTTTAGAAAGAAAGCCGACACCTGCCTGGGGGGGGGGGTCATCAGGCACCCCTCCCTCAGCCTAAATATAGCATGGCAAGGTGGCAGGAAGGGTGTCCCCGGATTAGGGTGTTCCCCTCTCTGTCCCAWGGCAGCCAAGGCAACACAGAGGGCGGCTCCAGTTGTTTACTGGAGGTGGGGAAAGGGCCACTTCCCAGTCTGAATGACGTACCATTCCCGTCACCTCTCTGACCTCTTCACACTCCCCCCATCCAGGCACAATCCACTCTCTGAGAAGAGGACGCTGTGTAATTTCCAGGCCCTGAAGGGTAACAGGGATGAGTGTTCAAAGAGGAGGAACCGGGAAACAGCCTGCCGACCSTCTCTGGGTCTCTCTCTCCTCTCTTGGTCTCTTACTCTTCCCAGCCCTCTGCCCTCCTCTTTCTTGCCCTTGGAATTCTCTCTTCTGCTGGGATTGGTCCTCTCTCCAGGTCTCCTGAGTGTCTCTGTGATGGGTTCTGCACCCCAATACTCTGCTTTGTCTTTGGCTGTGAAGAGGGGAGTCTGTCTCCATTTCTGTCTCTGAAATGTAACTTTTTATCCATTTCAAAAAGAATGACTGCCTAAAGGTATTTTTTTTCAACCATTATCAAACTCTTCCTGCCATCTGTATCTTCTCACTTGTTGTATAAAAAAAGTTAGTTTAGGGTCTGGGGCTGTGGCTCAGCGCTAGAGCGCTGGCCTAGAATATGCAAGGTGCTGGGTTCAATCCTCAGCACCACATAAAAATAAATAARTAAGTAAAAGGTATTGTGTCCAACTACAACTAAAAAAAATATTCAAAAAAAAAAGTAGTTTAATTAAATCTGGAGTTTCCAAACTGAATTTCTTTGCTATATTCTGAGTTGCTTAGATGGGCTCACAGGGAGGTGGGTCCTCAAACCAATTTCCCTCTGGTGCCTCGAAGGAAGAGTTTATTTGACTCAAAAAAGGGGTGCTAATGAAGAGCTAAAAATAATAACGGCAACACTCTGTAAACCACTGGATAGGTTTTTTAATAAATTAATACAATACCTTGAACAATGCCTGGCACATAGGAAGCCCTATATGTGTTAGCGATTGTAACCATCCTCCTCTTCCTCCTCTAAATGCCCTTTCATTCTGACTCTAGAAAATGTTTGGCTTTGCTACCTTGGGTAACAGCATCCCTTCTGAGCCTCAGTTTCCTCATCTATAGGACATGAGACTACTGGCCTCAGGAAGTCCCTGAACACCACGGACTGTGGGAACATGTGAAGCCCAGCAGCCAGCCACAAGCACCCCCACCCTGGTGTGCTGTGTGAACCTTGGGAAGCTATTGCCCTTTTGAGCCTTGGGTTCCTCTCATGGAAAACACAGAGACATCCAGCTGTCAGACAGTCTTCCTGAGCTGCAGGAAGATGGGTGATCTCTTACGATTCTGAGAACAGAGACTGGGCCTCTCTTTAGGGTCAAGAATACCAGTTTTTCTGCCTTTTGGGGGGGCGGGGAAGGAGGGGCTTTCTTTCTCAGATGCTGTGTGGTCTGTCTTCATTTCTAGTGTCTGTCCTTCTCTCTTGGGGTGTCTGACACCCCCCTCCAGGTCTCCGTGCCTCATCATTGGTCTCTGTACTTCTCTCTGGGTCCCTGTCCCCTTTCCTCTGGGTCTCTATTCCCCTAAGGAGTCTTCTCTCTATGGGTCTCTGTTTCCCTCCTTTGGGTCTCTCTTTCCTTCTTTCTCTCTTTCTGTCCCACCGTCTCTCTGGGTGTCTGTCTTTCCCTCCTTTTTGTTCCCTTATTATGTCTGAACAGAATACACACAGCTTTCTCCCTGTCTGTCTTCCCTCATGGCTCTGACTTCCATGTCTCCATGCTAAACCACAAGGGAGGACAGACAGAGCTGGGGCAAGATGAACTCTATGTGGGGTAAGTGGAAAGAGCATCTCCATCTTCCTAGTTCACCTGGAGGCCCTTTTGATGAACACCTGAATCCAGGGATTCAAGACCCAGTCCCTCGCCTCCAGGGAGTAACGCTGGGCCAGTGGTTCAGTCCACTGCCCAGATCCACAACACCACACTTCCTCCTGGATACATGACTCTTGCCAAGTGCTGTTATCCTTAGGTCCTGATGCTCCCACTAAGTGCAAAACCACCTAACATTGCCCTATGGATCCCATACATATAGTCCAACTCAATCCAACAGAATTCACACAATGACAAAACTCAGCATGGCCCTGTGAGACTCCAACAGTTTTATGACCCAACTGAACCAGCCTTATTGATACAACTTGACAAAACCCTTAAAAGATGAACTCAGCCATAGGTTCCAACCCAACTTAACCCACTGTGACCTAGAAAGCTCATATCCTATTACTTGACTGTGTATTTCAACATGACTCACAAGTTCACAGAACCTAAAAAAAACCAACATGGTCCTAGAAGAAACACAATGCCACACAATTCTCAACATGTCTCAACACAACAACACCATGCATGCACCACACAATGGATCTCCACAGTGCCATGGGGGACTACCTGATTTGATCCAGCACAATTCTAGGGAGCTCACAAATCCTGTGTAACACAGTTGAACAAGACTTACTCAGACTCACCAGCCAACCCAATCCAACGTGGACCTAGGAAACACACAGCATGATATGTATTTGTATAAAAAATATACAAATATGAGAAAACCTATCTCAATACTACCCCAAAAGGCCCCATGAGCTGTGTACTACTCAATGCAGTACAAACCAGCGGAGTTCCCCCTCAGCCCAAAACCAGCCGTTGCCATTCTTGGCTATTTGAGGACCCACAGGAGCTACCAAACCACACAACTCAAGACCCAACAAGACTCAGCGTTCCCCACTTGTTACCTCTTAACCTAGATCTTCCTAAACCCAATCCCCTCCCKCTATTTCCCCCTCTACCCTCCCTGCTTCCCTTGGAGGAGGTGTGAGGTCCTGCAGACCTCAACTGTCCCTCACACTTCAGTGACCAGGTGTTTCCCAGGGGGCGCCCAGAGTGGAGGTGGCAGCTCAGGCACTTCTCCATCCATCAAGCCCCCATTGGCCTTGCCCTCTAGAGTGCCACAGGGCTGTGTGTCCACATGGCTGTACATCCCGGCCTCTTCACCCTCTGTCTCCCGGTGGTAAAAGTAGCTGAAGTTGGAGACAATGACTGGTACAGGCAAGGAAATGGTCAGCACACCAGCAATGGCACACAGAGAACCCACTATCTTGCCACCCACAGTGACAGGTGCCATGTCACCGTAGCCAACTGTGGTCATGGTGACCACTGCCCACCAGAAGGACTCAGGGATGCTGGTGAAATGGGAGTCTACTCGATCAACTTCAGCAAAGTAGACTGCGCTGGAAAAGAGGACCACCCCGATGAAGAGGAAGAAGATGAGGAGGCCCAGCTCACGCATGGAGGCCCGAAGTGTCTGGCCCAAGATCTGCAGGCCCTTTGAATGCCGGGACAGCTTGAAGATGCGGAAGACACGCACCAATCGGATGACCCGCAGGATGGCCAGAGACATGGCTGGTTGACCCACACCCCGCTGTCGGGCCAGCTCAGTGCCCAGTGCCACAAAGTAGGGCAGGATGGCCACAAAATCGATGAGGTTCATCACGTTCTTGAAGAAGACTGCCTTGCTCGGGCAGGCCACCAGGCGTACCAGCAGCTCAAAGGAGAACCAACAGATGCACAGCGTCTCCACCACAAAGAATGGGTCGTTGAAGGGCAAGCGGGAAGTGGTTCCTGGCACGGGGCTGGAGCCATTCAGCCGAGCGGGGAACTGCAGGAAAGAAAGGGTTCAGGAAGGGACAGGCCAGGGCTGGGACATGGGAATGGTCTTATTCATTGAATAAATATCCAATTACTTTCTATAGATTGGTCAGTGGTCACTCTCCCAAGGCCCCAAGTGACCCRATTGTCCCAACACTCCCTCCCAGGACTCAAGGGAACATCCATGGAGAGCTAATTTTCTGATCTCCTGACCCATGGGTGGCTGGAAAGGTAGTCCCTGCCCGGTCACCGAGGGCAACTCCTGACATGATGCTTGAGTAGGGTGCAACCCTTTCCTTCCAAAGTCCTCCCTCCCAGTATTGATTTTCCAGAGCAGAGAAGGGTCCCTRTGCGCTGCCCCTTCGTGCCCTGACTTTCCTTGCCCTCCCCAACCCTAGCCCAGAAAATAAGGGCTCAAGATCTCTGTTCGACCTTTTGCTCACTACCCTCAGCCTGACTTTCTCTGTGATTGATCCCTCCTCCTCTATCCTCAGTCCCRTTCTCTCTCTTCAGGCCTGGCTTGAACCCCTCCAGTCCACCGTTCCMACTGCTCTCTGCATAGACCCCGAGCTTTTCATATTCCAGCCTACAGCTCCGATTTTTAATGTTCCTGTCCACTTGCCCCTGCTCCAAGAGCCCTGTGCTCTGCTGGCCTGTTTCTCACTACAGAAACCAGCCTTCTGTCTGACACGGCAGGTCCCSGTACTCTGCCTTTAGTGGGAGTACAGGTCAGACTCYGTACTTGCGCGTAGCCCCTTGCCCSGCCTTCTGATTGGTCAGGTCCTTCTGAGACCCGCCCATCTCCTCCAGAGCCCCGCCTCCCTTCCAGCCAGGCCCCGCCCCTCACCGGGCCAGCTGCGGCCACTGAAGCTAGTCCCGGGTCGTAGCGGTCATCGCGGAAATCGGGCAGCGTCTCGAGGCAGAAGACTACGATRGAGACGAGGATGACAAGCACAGACACGACGGCCAGCACGCGCGCGGCCTGTGAGCTCTCGGGGAACTCGAAGAGCAGCCAGAGCTGGCGCGCGAAGGCRTGGCGGGGCAGGGGGCGCTCGGGCGGCACCGGGCAGCCCTCGTCCTCRCGCAGGCGCGCCAGCGCCGCCGCGCCCAGCCCGTAGAAGGCCACCTCCTCCAGGAAGACGTCGAGCGGCACGTGCGCCGGCCTCCGCAGCCGCCCACCCGACTGGTAGTAGTAGAGTACGGCGTCGAAGCTGGGCCGATGTCGGTCGAAGAAGTACTCGCGGCGCGCACCGTCGTAGAAGCGGCTGCGGCGCACCGGGTCCCCCAGCAGTGTGTCTGGGAAGCGGCCCAGCGTGCGCGCCCGCGTCTCGAAGCGCAGCCCGGCCACGTTGAGCACCACTCGCTCGCAGCAGCCGCACGGCGGCGGGCACCGCGGCTCCATGGCGCGCGTAGCCCCGGCGACCCGCGGACGGACGTGTGGCCCCGATGCCCGGCCCGGCGCGGCCCCGCCTCGGCCGCCGCCGCCGCCTCCCCAGCCCGGTGTCCGGTGTCCGGTGTCCGGGCGTAAAAATAGCCCGGCCATCCCGCCAGGGCGCGGGGGAGGGGTCGCCGTGACCCCTGCGGGGCGGAGGGCAGCCCGGCGCCCTCTGCCGGGGCGCCCGCCTTCCCCCAGCCCCGCTGCACCACTCTGTCCGCCGCTGCCTGCGTCCTCCCTGGCCTCTCTTCACCCCGTCTCCCTCTCGCTGGGGAGCTGTGCTCTGCGTCTCTCGAGTCTCTGTGTGTGTCCTCTCTCGCTCCTCTTTTTCTCTCTTGGAGTCGCATATTTCTCTCTCCCTCTTCCTGTCTTTCTGGCCCTCYAAGTCTCTGGATCTACTTGTGTCAATCGCTTTGGGTCTCTGTTGGGGATGTATCTTTGAGTATCTCTTTACGGGTCAGTTATCTCTGAGACMTGTCCCCCTGAGGACCTCTGTCTGGGGATCTCTGTCTTTCTGGATCTC